CGGGGAGCAGAACAGGCAGATCAATGAAGTACACTGCTGAGGGGAGCAGCGGGCGGGTCAGGAGAGGTCTGCCATGCCATGGGGTCACCTCCGAGGCAGGCGGGAATTGAACTCATGTAGAAGTGGCTTTAGCTTCTCAGTGCTGTGCTTTAACCCGCTGCACCACTAGGGAGGGCCCGATGTTAAGTTTTGGTGTGTTCACTGAGTAGTTTGTTAGCTCTCCAATTTCAGCCCTGACTTCTCCCCTTGACATTTACCCTTGTCTAATAACTAAGTCCCAACCCAAACTATTTTCTCCCCACTCTAGAACTCTTCTAGGTATTCCTAATTGGAAGTTGCCTAAATTAAAAAATTGAGACTTATCAAAATAGTTGACAGTTACAATATCCAACTTAGCTGCTCAACATCCTATGTCTTAGGGATTATTGTTGGGTTTTAAATGAGTCAAAACTTAGAATAGCACCTGGAAGATAGTAAATTTTATTGTTATTATTTATCCTAAATCTATCGGTTAGTACTTTGTAATAATAAACTACATACATTGCAAATCTGTGTCACTTCTCTGAACTTAGAAAAACACTCTGTAGTTCTATTTTCAGTGGCAATGGTACCCGATATGTTTCTTTTTTTTTTTAGTTTGTGAGCACATTTTAAAATCCAATTTCCTCGGGAAATGCATCTACTCTTTACTTTTGTATACGAGGGTGTTCTGGATTCCCTTGAAGGCTATATACCTCGGATCCCTTAAGGTTCCACGGCACAGAAGTAATGGGTTCAATAAACTTAGGTTAAATGCATAAAAGTTGACTTTCCTTAGTATGACATCTGCCTCAATCTCTTGCAGATTTCTTGCTTGGTTTTTAGCCTTTTTGCATGGCTTTTAATTATACGCTTGATGTCAACTCTTGTACTGAACTACTAGTAATTTCTGTTCCTGCTATTTCTTCTGTGTATTATATCTGTTTGTATCACTTAACTGTCCTTCAAGTCTTACCTCTCCCAGTGAGTTTTACTTAATTCTGTTTATCCTCTTTACCACCCCCTACCCCCTTGGAGGTTGAACTAATTGTTTTTAATATTCATTATTACCCTTAAGACTTTGACTTTCTTTTTTTCACAAACTGCTTGGAATTAAAATTAACCCTTAAGGTTTCTCTTTGTACTTGACATAAAGGACAAGAAACTTGTGTCTTTAGGTCTTGTAACCATAGTACCTTTCAGTAAACTCGAATGAACTTTGTCTGTTTAATGTTTACCTCCACCACCCCTTTCACTCATTACTGCTTACATCTTGTCACTCTGTTAAGAACCAAAAGTGATTCCCCTCTATATCAGGTAAAATTTTAACTTCTTTGTGTAATATAAAGGGCTCTTTGTCATCTTTTTCTTTCCTTTCTTTCCAAACTCATTTCCTACTATTTTCCAACACAGACAGAGCTTATAAGTTACAGAACTGTGGTACTTTCATCCTATAAACACTGGGTAACCCTGCTGTTTATCTCCAGTTACCATTGCATATGTTATTACTTCTGCCTGGAAGACACATTTACTCTACCCACATTCCCAATCTACAAATAATCCCTTTTTATGACTTAAGTATCTCTAGCATCATGAACTATGCTAGTTTCTCAAGCCCACTGAGAATGACTTTTGTACATAGATAGATAATTACATTATGGTCTTCTTCATTATCACAGGAAGATCTTAAAGTAGGAAGTCTTTCACTCTGGTTTTCACATCTCCTAGTTTGTAACCTAGTACATCATAGATGCTCAATAAATGAATGAATACTTGTGAAGTTGAATTTAGATGAAAGTATGATGACCTGTAAACTTGTGATAAAGTTTCTTTGTTATCTTGCATCTAGTTTTAAAATATTACTGTTTTTACATCTAAGCAGTTTGATTCTCTAATATTTTTAGGTATCTTAAAATACTGACCTAAAGTAAAATACAGTTCTGGTTTTAAACACTCATGGTAATTAATGTTTGCCTTTTTTCTCATTTTTATATTTTTAAGGCCTATTGTGTAACAGAACCTGGAGCAGGCTCTGATGTAGCTGGTTTAAAGACCAAAGCAGAAAAAAAAGGGAATGAATATATCATTAATGGTCAAAAGATGTGGATAACCAACGGAGGAAAAGCTAATTGGTATGTTGTTTAAAACATCTCTGTATATTGCGTCTTAATTACTTTATATTCAGAATCTTCCCTCCCTTCTTTATGATTAAACTATCACAATTAAGATGATTTTTTATTCATGGCCCTGGAAGCTCCATAAAAACTATAAAGAATTCAGTAATTTCAAAAGCTATTTCTTTTTTAAAGATTTATTTATGCTTACAGAATTAGGGTACAGGTCAGAGGTGCAGGGGTGGTGACAGGATTCACTAGAGATAGAGTGGGGAGCAGAACATACAGACTGACAGATTACACTGCTGAGAGGAGCTGCAGGCAGGTCAGAAGAGGTCTGCTATGCCATGTGGGTCAGCAACCTGCCCAGGGATCAAACTCGTGCTGCAGTGGCTTCGGTGAGCTTCATGATGTGGTGCTTTAACCTGTTGCACTACCAGGGAGAACCCCTCAAAAGCTATTTTAAAGCCCTTAACTATTTCTTCAAATTAACTCTCAGGAACTTAAAATAAAAGTAAATATAATTTAAATACAATAAACAAAATACCTACTCTAGCTGAATCTGGGTAGGAAAGTTAGAGCTCCATCGACTTGTTTACTGTCTCCACCCTCTTGTTTGCGATATCAACATCTCTTTGAACTCATTCCCTAAGATTCTTAGGAAAAAGAAAACTACTGGTATGTATCTTTTCTCTGATCCAGGACAGTAAACAAAGAGCCTTATTATTATTTTTTTTTAACAAAAATCTCAAAGATCTAAATACATGTCCAAACTTAATGTGAAATTCAACAACAGATAATAAATTCACGTGTATTAATACTAAATGTTGAAAAAAATATATCATTGCTAGCATTATTTGTTGAGAAAAAGTGAAAGTTTAGTTAATAACTATAGGTTCAACAGAAATCAACAATGTGATAAGCCTCTAGAAGCTAATGTAGGGCCTTCTTGGTGGCTTAAAGGGTTATGTCTTAGCACTATGATGCTATCAGCAGCCACTGCAACATGACCAGGGAGGTGACCCACCTGGGACAACAGATCTGTCTTGTCCAATGCTGCCCTCAGCAGTGCATTTCAGTATATCTGCCTGTTCTGCTCCCCACTCTGTCTCTGGGGATTCCTCTCAAGCACCATACCTCAGGCCTGCACCCTCTTACATGCATAAATACATTGAAAAAAAAAAAAAAGAAAGAAAAGAAATTCATTGTTTACAGAATTTTACTCTATAGAGTAACTTGTTACTTGATAACTTGTTTGTTTTTTTATTTATTTTTTATTTTTTTTTTAATTTTTTTAATTTAATTTAATTTTATTTTATTTTTATTATTTTTTAAAGATTTATTTATGCATACAGAACTGGGGTATAGGTCAGAGGTGCAGGGGCACTGAGAGGCTTCACCAGAGACAGAGTGGGGAGCAGAACAGGCAGATCGACGAAGTACACTGCTGAGGGGAACAGCGGGCGGGTCAGGAGAGGTCTGCCACGCCATGTGGTCACCTCCGGGGCAGGCGGGGATCGAACTCATGCTGTAGTATCTTTAGTCTCTCAGTGCTGTGCTTTAACCCCCTGCGCCACCAGGGAGGGCCAATAACTTGTTTGTTTTAAGCATAGAAAATAAATTTATTCAGCCTCCCTGGTGGTGCAAGAGGCTAAGTCATAGCGCTGTGAGTACATGGGTGATATGCGCATATAGATGTTTTTGTCTTTCCCCTCATGTTCTCCTTTTAAATTTTTGTGTGAAGAATCTTCTCCAAGTAAAATTCAATAAATATTTATAATAATCAGCTGTAATAAAAACACTGATGTTGCTATATAATTTATATTTGTCCTCCTTTTTCCAGGAGCTTGTCTGTTGAAGAATTAAATTAGTTTTGGGAAAGATGAAGTGTAGTTTCAACATGTATGGGACTTTTTAAAAAATTACAACTCATACTACCAAAAACATTTAAATTCCACATTCACCAGAGACAGAGTAGGTAGCAGAACAGGCAGATCTACTGAAATACACTGCTGAGGAGAGCAGCGGGGGAAACAAGAGAGGTCTATCTGCACCCAAATGGTCCAGATTCCTGGCCTGGGATTGAATTCATGTTGCAGTGGCTGCTGATAGCTTCATAGTGCTGAGACTCAATCTCCTGTGCCACCAGGGAGACCCAGAAATACTAGTTTTGCCACCATCACAAGTGTGTGAATCAGACAAGCTGTAAACCTTTATGATTCTTCATTTTCTCATCTTTAAAGTAGGGAAATAATTGACATTGTTGGGAAGATAAGCACTTAACCATGTGTTATCTCTTGGTAACATTATTGTATATATCTCTGTATTTACTAGGTACTTTCTTTTGGCACGTTCTGAGCCAGATCCTAAGGCTCCTGCTAGTAAGGCCTTTACTGGGTTTATTGTGGAAGCAGATACCCCAGGAGTACAGATCGGAAGAAAGGTAACGTGCATATCTATCAGTGATAAATGCCTCAAATGTTATTTTAACTGTATATTTAAAAATTACTGGTTGCTTCCTTTATTGCAAACATTTTGTTTATATTAAGAAAGAATAAGTTATGTTTTGATGTTCATAGGTAAAATAGCGTGTGTAATGCTGATGATTTTAAGCTGAGTTTAGTCATTATTTGATAGAGTGGCCATTCAGGTCCTAGTCTGTGGAGAATACTAGAACAGCTGTGAGGGAAAATACAGTAGGACTCAGGGGCCTCCTTGGTGGCAGAGGAGTTAAGTCTCAGCCCTGTCAAGCTATCTCCAGCTACTGTGGCATGAGTCCCACCCCAGTCAGCAGGCCAGGGAACTAACTCACATGATGCAGTAGACCTCTCCTGTCTTACCTGCTGCTTCCCTTAGCAGTATATTTTCTTTCCTCACAGCAATCTTTCAGGTAGGGTAATAATGTTATCCCCAATTTATGGAGTAAAACAATTTGCCATAAATTGAATACCACCTTCATACAAAATCTGTGTCTGAGAAAAGTATGGAAATAGCAGAGCCTTGAGTGTGGAGAGACAGCAAGAAAAAAGTTTAAATACGAAAGGTAATTTGACATATTTCAAAATAATCTTAATCTGATAATTTAGCACTAGTAGCATTTAAAGTGAACTAAAGAGAAAAAATTTTTAATTTAACAAGTGAAAAAAAATCATTTAAGTTGTCTAGTGAGAGCTAAAGAAGTATGATTTAAGATTATAATTTATTAGGAAGAGGCTCCATTTTATAACTGTAAATCTCTTTTGCAAAATGAATTTGTAAAAAAGAAAACTGACTAATTACCAAATATCTTCCATATTTAAGGAAAGGAAGGAATTATGGAGGTTAATTAACAGTTACTAAAGGTTACATGAGTATACTTTCATCTAAATCAGATGAGAAGTTCAGATTATCTGGTCAGATATTAGACTCTTAGGGTGGCATAATCTGTACTGTAAAGGCTAATTTGAATTGGCTAAATTATGTAAACTTGTAAATCTGTATGTGTAAAACCTTACTTTGTTAAAAGCTATCAGAATCTTTCTTGTACCAAAAAAAAAATAAGGATTGTACCCAGTCCTCTTTAAAGTAGAAGCATGTTGCCAGGCTTTATAAGAGGAGTCACATATAGGTCACAGAGTATAAATGGCAGAAAGTACACTACACATTATTTCAGTATGTTTGATGAATATTGAAACCAAGTGATTTACTCAAAGTTACAACGTACTTAGAAATTCAGTTGAGATTAGTGCTCAGGTCTCCTAGAACTTGCCCATGCAGTTTCATGCTCCATTCTCTTTGAAGCATATGTATTATAGGTAGAGTGCACTTTACAAACAAAGCTTATTGAGACTGTCAGAAACAACAAAATGTAAGTACTAAAAATGAATGGGCATATTCAGAGTCATTTGTTTTTATTTAAGTTTTACTTAAGTTTCCTTTTCAGAGGTAGTTGCTAGTACTAAATAAAAATCCAACCAAGCTAATTTTAAAGGTCTAGTTGGCTTTATTAAAAGATGTATTCAGGCCCCTCCCTGGTGGCGCAGTGGGTTAAAGCACAACACTGAAAAGCGAAAGCCACTTCAGCATGAGTTTGATCCCTGCCCTGTAGGTGATCCACATGGTGGCAGACCACTCCTGACCCGCCTACTGCTCCCCTCAGCAGTGTACTTTTGTCCATCTGCCTGTTCTGCTCCCCACTCTGTCTCTGGTGAATCCTCTCACTGCTCCTGCAACTCTGGCCTGTACCTCCAGCTCTATATGCATAAATAAATAAATCTTTAAAAATAAAAAAAGATGGGTTCACATATTGGACAGTATGCCACCAAGTAAGGAGTGTGCCTAGAAAACTTTTAAAGCTTGAGAGTGGCGCAAAGTTATTAGCAAAATAAAAGATTATTTTAGGCAAAACCATCTTTCCTTAGAGGAAGGTAGGGATTGTCATCTTGCAGATTACCTCACTAATACTGACCAAGAAACTCCAGATAATTAGTTTAAATAATTCACTCCTCATTATACCTTGTGATTTCTAGTTTCATATTGTTTATCCCAATTTTCTTCTTAAAGAAAAAACTGAAATTAAGTATTTATTATTAGGTTCATACTATGTGCCAAGCACTGTATAGGTCAAAACAGACAAAAATTCCTGCTCTTGGGGGACTTACTTTCTATTAAGAAAATAACTGCTTATTTTAAAACCTCAAGTCTCTTTTTTAAAATAACATTTTTTAAATAATTGGGCAATTATTTGGAAAATTTTATGCCTTATAAAATATTTTGTGTTTTAGAAATTTTATAACTTGGGATGAGTCCAGGAGATCTTTTGGTTTTAAAATGTTCTGGTGTTTGGGGTGTGTCTGGGAAACAAGATAGAATAGTGTTTTGTTGCCAGATTCTAATACTGATTTACCAGATGAGAGTTTTTTAAAGCTTATGAAATTAGCATAAGGGAGTATTAGGGACTGCATGGTGCTCCCTGAGAAATAGGCAGAGGCACTAAGTAAGCAGTTTTAACTCAGATAATTAGAGGTCTTTGTTCTGTCCAGGAGGTCTTTCCATCTCTCCTGATCTAGACCTCTTCTTGCTGAATTCCATCTCATTAGCCTAGAGGGCTGTTAGCATAAAGGGTGTTTTTAGTGGTAAAAATCTTATTTTATCTATTTTATGTATTGGGCAAAGGTTTCTTCTTAAAGATAGAGATAGTCACTATCAGAGTTTGGGTAAGTGACCTGGCCCCAAATCTCTCCTGGAAAAGTGCTACTTTCTACATAAAAATCCTTGGCTGGCCTCAGCCTGAATTAATGTCCAGTATCATAAAGTTTCCTTGGACTCACTGGACCTTGTCTCCTGAGAATCACATAGACTTTGTCACAACTGCAAAACCCTCCCATTGTACAAGAAAGAATATGTAAATAAATAGGTGTATCTGTTTTCCTATAAAGATTTCTTAATGGATATTGAAAGCCTTAGTTTGTTAACCGCTGTCTTAGAAAATTGCCCAAAGCCATGAAACAGTTGCTAAAACCAAAATTAATGCTAGATTCAATGGTGTTCTATAAACTGTTACTTCTTTTTAGGAAATAAATATGGGTCAGAGATGTTCTGATACAAGAGGAATTGTCTTTGAAGATGTGAAGGTGCCTAAAGAAAATGTTTTGATTGGTGAGGGCGCAGGTTTCAAGATTGCAATGGGAGCTTTTGATAAAACCAGACCTCCAGTAAGTAATGACTTGATAGTCTGTATGGAACCTTTTTACTGACTACATTTGGTATGCTTGGTTGTATATTTTTAAAAATCTGCTGCTTTTATTAAAGATGGGGAAATATTGTTATTCTTTACTTTTTAGGCTTCTTTAACTCCCTTGCTGCCTGTTACAGAAATTCTTTTAGCAAACTCACAATTGCTAGATGAAGAGCAGAGCTAGGCAGTTTACGTTTGGCTTTATCATTCCTACTGCTAGGTACTCAGTTCCTCTCTTCTTACTCATTAAGACTATATCCCCTAAGGAGCTTTCCCTTGTTAAACAGGAAGAATGACTTGTCCTTAGGCTTGTATCTTGTGCCTTACCCATGTCTTCCATTAACGTTTAAATCCTACTAATGTAAATTAAAATATTTTTTGTCCTCCCCTCTCTTCCCTTGTTCCATTCTCATTGACTGAAGGTTTTCTGTCATCTTCTGCTTGTCTAATCTTTAACAGAGAATGTTAGGCAAATAGCCATGTACTGTGTGTTTTAAAGAGATGTGAGCTTTTGCCTTGTTTTATGTTAAAAAACTAGGTAGCAGCTGGTGCTGTGGGACTTGCACAAAGAGCTTTGGATGAAGCCACCAAGTATGCCCTGGACAGGAAAACTTTTGGAAAGCTACTTGTAGAGGTAATTTTAATACTGTACTTACTTCATACAAATGTACAGACATTGATTTTTATGTAATTATTTGAAAATTATCTTTAATAATTTTATATATTATCTTTATTAATTTTAAATAAAAATATCTTTAATATCTTTAATAAAACGATTTTATGACAGTTATCCACTCAGTGACTTACTGTAAATTACAAAGAAAATGAAGAACTGGTATTTGTTGTGTGAGTGCCTGGTCTTTTGATGTGGATCATTCCAGCATATGAAGTGGCACCTTACTGTGATTTTGATTTACATTTTCCTGATGATAAGTGATGGTGAAGATTTTCCTTGTACCTGATGGCCATCATATGTCTTCTTTTTGAAGAGGCATGACACGCATTTTAAATATATTGTCTAATTCTTGTAATGCTAACATTGTTTTGGTAGCACAATGATCTTAATTAAAGATCAGGAAATTGAAGCTCAGAAAAATTAAATGATTTTGTCCCAGGTCACAAAATTTGTAAGCCACAGATTCAGGACTCTTATTTCATGTTCTTGATTACCAATAATTTTAATACTAAAGAATAATCATTTTCTTAACTCTGTAGATCTCTTCAAATATTGACTCACCTTCATTATCTGTATTTTCTCTTGTAACGTGCTATGTGTTGTACAGTGAACAAACTCTTCATTCATTTCTGTCCTTATGAGTCAGTGGTTCTCATCTACGTTAAAAGATCAGATTGTTTTTAATTTTCAGTTAGTTAATCTGCTACTTATTCATCTTTGATTTATTGTAGTTTCTTCATTTTTTAGAATTTGTATTCAGTTCTTTTTAAATTTCACCTTTTTTTTTTTAAGAAAATGATGACAGAGGTTTTCAATATAGCTTCTCTTTCTCTTTTACATCCCTAATTTTATTATATGTATGCATACACACACACACACACACACACATATACACCTTTATTTAGTTACTTTCAGGATTTTTCCTGTATCTGAAGTTCTTAGAGCCCAATCTTTGTATCTCACTTTTTCCTTGTAAGCAAAGGTAATAATATCTTTCTACAGAAGGCATTTTCCTTCAATGCACCGAGGACGCATCCTAAAGATTGGCTTCTTTAATGTCTTGATAGTTTTATCAGGCACTCCAGAAGAATCACTATTCTAAGAACTGTTTCTCCACTTGGCGAATCCTGTACCACAGAGTGCATACTTAAAGAGATTCACTTCTGGGTCTCTCTGGTGGCACATGGAGTTAGAGTTTCAGTATTATCAAACTAACCAGCCACTGCAGCATGAGTTCAATCCCCAGCCAGGGAGCTAACCCATATGGTGCAGTAGATCTCTTTTGTCTTGCCCACTGCTCTCCTCAGCAGTGTATTTCAGATCCTCTTATTCTGCTCCCCACTCTAGTCTGTCTCTGATGAGTTCTTTTACCCCCTATACCTCTGACCTTCATCCCAGTTCTTGAATGAATAAATAAAAATGAATCTTTAGGCCCTCCCTGGTGGCGTGCAGCGGGTTAAAAGCACTGCACTAAGAAGCTGAAACCACTTCCACATGAGTTAGATTCCCGCCTGCCTGGGAGGTGACCACATGGTGTGGCAGACCTCTCCTGACCCGCCTGCTGCTCCCCTCAGCAGTGTACTTTGTCAATCTGCCTGTTCTGCTTCCTACTCTGTCTCTGGTGAAGTGTTTCGCCACCCCTGAGTCTCTGGCCTGTATCCCAGTTCTGTATGCACAGATAAATAAATCTTTAAAAAAAAAATGAATCTTTAAAAAAAAAATAAAGACATTCATTTCTTTATTAACTCCCTGACTGTCCTGAGCAACAGATAAGTTTCTTTGTGACTTTCCTGCCTTGATAAGCCAATGAATGGAGCCTTTTAGTTCCCCCTTTGGAAAGAGCTTTCATATGCAAGTAATCTGTTTCAGCTCTTTGTTCATACTCACAACCAAATCTCCTGTTCTTGTGTATTCATTAAAACTCCAATTCCTGTCTCATTGAACTGTGACATTTTTTTCTCAGTCAGAATTTAAATTCCCTTGGAAACATTTGGAGATTTCTTGCTAAAAAATACATAACCTCATTCCAGTCATGAGAAGGCATTAGACAAAAACCAAATTGAGCAATATTTTTCAAAAAATAACCAACCAGGGGCTTCCCTGGTGACACAAGGAGTTGTCCTTAGCCCTATGAAGCTGTCAGCAGCCATTGCACACAAGTTCAATCCCCAAACAGGGATCTAACTGACATGGAAAAGGGATCTAATTCACATGGCGCAGCAGACCTCTCCTATTTCGTCCTCTGCTTCCCTCAGCAGTGTATTTCAGTAGATCTACTCTGTTCCCTACTCTGTATCTGGTGAATCCTCTCACCGCCTCCCACCTCACCACCACCACCACCACTGATATCTCTGGCCTATTCCCTGACTCTTGTATGTATAAATAAAATAAATCTTTAAAAAACAAAACAGTATTCTTCAAAAGTGCTCAGGTCATAAAAGACAAGTCCTAACAGCATGGTGAGGTCTAGGGAGAAGTAACTAAATTGTATAATATAATCTTGAATAGGATTCTTCAACAGAAAAAGGACATCAGTGGGAAACTTGCTAAATTTGAATAAAGTATATAATTGATGATAATAATCAATGGATAATATTTTACCAATATTGATGTCCTGATCTTGATCTTTATACTATATATAGTTTTGTAATAATTTAACTTTAGAGGGAGTAGAGGGGATCTTTTTAAGTCTAAAATTAGTTTTAATGCTTTAAAAATATTCTGGAAAAAAAAGTTTTAAATGTACATAAATAGCCTTAATTTTGTTTTCTTTTCAATTCTAGCATCAAGGGATATCATTTTTGCTGGCTGAAATGGCAATGAAAATTGAACTAGCTAGAATGGGTTACCAGAGAGCAGCTTGGGAGGTTGATTCTGGTCGCCGCAATACCTATTATGCCTCTATAGCAAAAGCATATGCTGGAGATATTGCAAATCAGATAGCTGCTGATGCTGTACAGATTTTTGGTGGCAACGGATTTAATACAGATTATCCTGTAGAAAAACTAATGAGGGATGCAAAGATCTATCAGGTAAGGTTAAGGATGATTTTGTTGTTTTTTAGGGGACAGAATATTCATAAATGACACAATAGACTTCATTATTTAGAGATTTTGTATCACTAGTAATGAGAAATGACATTCATAGACGGCTGAGAGCTGAAGTTTTTGGAACTAATTATCACATAAAAGAACGTTACTTTTAAGTTGATGCCATAAGGGATGTAGGTTAAAAAAGTAAATGTACAGATATGTGCAGTATGTCTGGAACAACTTTCTTTGACTCTTAACATTATAGCTAATTATAACTTATCCGGTGCTCTTTTAAAAATGTATATGTCACTGAAAATTATTTTATTTTGAATCTTGGTTGACAGCTCACCAATAAAACATATCTGGGGAGTTAAAAACAACATAAATGACTGTCTCCCCTAAATTAAACTAGTGACTAATAAAACTGGATAGGAGTAATTTATAAATAAGATAAAAATGTCCACCTTCACAACATGCAACTTAAGTCTAATTATAACCCCTGCACCACAACCACAGTATATCTTCTTTTGCTTCCTTTTCCCTTTAGCATATAATTAGAGAAGTTGATTCATCTACAATCTAGAGATAGAATCATAGAATGGACTAGAGTTTGTCTCTTATCTAAGATTACAGGTTTATCTTGTAATTTTCTCTTTTGGAGCTTGTAATAATTATAATTCTTAATATTATCAGCTATTTAACTTTTTTTTCTCTGCCATGTGATGAGAAGATGAATAAATTACTACAGTTAGAAGTTTGAATTGGAAATGAGGTCTTACTATGAAGATTTTAAGTGAATAACCAAATCCTATAGCATTTTTTTTTTTTTTTTTTAGCAACATCATTCCTTAGGCAGAAGAAACAAAATCAGGCATGATTGAAGATGACATACAACTAATAATAGTTCAGAAAATTTGTGGGGGTCTCCTTTGTAGTGTAGAAGTTAGTCTCAGTGCTATCAAGCTATAGGCAGCCAAGAGTTTGATCCCCAGACATGGAGCTGACCCACATGGCATAGCAGATTTCTGCCTTGCTGGCTGCACCCCTAAGCAGTGCTAATATTTTGATAAGTGGGTTTTAAAATAATTTTAACTAATCTATAGGGAATTATATATTTTCATGGATTTCACAAAGTCAGGTTTGAAATCACTGTAGACTGCAGATGTTGTATGGCTTGATTTGGTATTGTAGTAAAATTTATGCTATTGTCCAAAATCTCAAGTAAATTTAATTATGAATATACTGAAAATATCTAACCTACATTTATTTTTTTTCTTGCAGATTTACGAAGGTACATCACAAATTCAAAGGCTTATTATAGCCCGTGAACACATTGGCAGATATAAAAATTAACAAGATTACTATAGAACATAGTTAATCATTGTGTATTTACAACACAATCCATTAAGCTGCAGAAAAATAAGAGGGCTTTCATATTTTTCTAGTAAAAATTTCTAAATATGTACTCTTATGCTAAATCAATCTATGCAACTATTGTAATATTTTCTACAAATATTATTTTATTTAACTATGTCTAACTTTTTCTCAGATTTGGTTTCATTAAAAATATTTTTTGTCCTTAGTACTTCCATAATGATATTAACATAGAAAAATACATTTGTTTTACAATTTTGACCTCTTAAAAGTAACAGAAATTTCCAATGACAAATAAATGAGCATATAAAAGTATTCAGCTTACCCAAAATTTCTATTAGAAAACTGTATTAGGATTTGGACACTGTTAAATAATTTCTTGAATGCTTAATGAAATTATATTAAAAGAAGTTAATTTTAATATAATTAAGGAGGCAGTTGTTTTTAATTTGAGACAGTAATTATCAAAAATGTAAGGTCCCTAGTCCATTATACAACAATCAGAAGATATTTGAAATGTTACTTCTTTCTGAGTCCACATTTCACTTGCCTTATTATATAATCAATAAAGTGTGGCTTAAAATATTTTTATAAGACCTTGGGTCTCTGGGTAGCTTTTGGTCTGTTGTACACAATCTTATTTTGTGTGCATACATTATGAAAAGAAACAAATAAAACTTTAAAGCTAATTAGTGTATTGTATTCTTTCTAGGAAGCTTTATTATTTCATGTAGTATATACTGGATTTACTTAGTATGATGCAAAAAAGGCTTTCCATTTTGAGTATTTAGGAATTCATTATTTATCATGTTCCATTCTTGTTCTATAGCCAAGCGTTCCCTAATCCTTATTTAATTCTGTGATAGAATAAGAGCTAATACTTACCTATTATATTTCCTATTACTTAGATAAGTTATCAGGTTACAGCCATTACAGCCAGGAAGTAGAATCAGAGATTAAAGACATGATTGTTGCCTACATCTGTAAATAGATGACTTCTGGGTAAAATGTAGCTTATGAAGATTTAAGGACTATATCAGAGTATTCAAGTTTGTATAGAAGAGATTATTTCCAAGATTCCTATATTTAAAAAACAAATCCAATGGCTGTATGGTTTCTGAGAATTTCAACCCTTACCTACATTGTTCACTGTCAAAGAATACAAAAAGATTTTAGAAATTAAAGATTAAATTCTGGCCCTCCCTGGTGACCCAGCAGGTTAGGATGCAGCAGTACAAATTAACTGCAGCCATTTCAGTTGAGTTCGATCCCCGCCCTGTAGGTGATCCTTATGGTGATCCTCATGGCGGCTGACTTCTCCTGACCCGCCCACTGCTTCCCTCAGCAGTGTATTTCAGTCAGTCTGCCCGCTCTGCTCCCCACTCTGTCTCTGGTGAATCCTCTCACTGCCCCTGCACCCCTGGCTTGTACCCCAGCTCTGTATGCATAAATAAATTTTTTTAAAAAGATTAAATTCTAAAGGCAGTAGTGCAGCATGTTTATGGGTGTGTTCATATTTTAACATGTTAAAGATTTTACCAACTTAAGGAGTGAGAACTAATGAGATGTTATAATTGGTATAAGGAAAATTTGAAAAACAAACATGGTACTTAGAAATGCTTTAGAGAATTTGCTAAGAGATATACAACTGGTTAGTAGGACCCTCCCTGGTGGCGCAGTGGGTTAAAGCACAGCACTAAGAAGCTGAAGCCACTTCTGCATGGGTTCAACCCCCCCTGCCCGGGAGGTGATCCACATAGTTTGGCAAACCTCTCCTGATCCTCCTGCTGCTCTCCTCAGCAGCTTACTTTGTCCATCTGCCTGTTCTGCTCCACACTGTGTCTGGTGAATGCTCTCACTGTCCCTGCACCTCTGACCTGTACCCCAGTTAAGTATGCAGAAATAAATCTTAAAAAAAAAAAAACAAAAACTGGTTAATAACTTTTAGGACAGAATGTCTAATGGGGTCACCTTTTCCACAGAGCAGAAATTTGGTTGTAGTTTGTGGTTCACCTGAATTATTCTTCACCTTTTTTTTTTTTTAAAGATTTATTTATTTGTGCATACAGAACTGGGGTGCAGGCCAGAGGCTCAGGGGCGGTGAGAGGCTTCACCAGAGACAGAGTGGGGAACAGAACAGGCAGATCTACAAAGTACACAGCTGAGGGGAGCAGCGGGTGGGTCAGGAGAGGTCTGCCACCCATGTGGCACCCATGTGGCACCTCTGGGGCAGGCAGAATCGAACTCATGCAGAAGCGGCTTTAGATTCTCAGGGCTGTGCTTTAACCCGCTGTGCCACCAGGGAGGGCCTATCCTTCACCTTTTAATGCTTCTAGCTTAACAGAGTTATAAAGCAGTCAACAGGAAGACAATCACAATACATACTCCTTCAAATTCTATCCAGACGACCCATACATACCTAGCACTTCACTGAAAGGACACTGCACTCTCTTTTACTCGTTTTCAAGATTGATATGTTTTTTGAGAATCTCTTCTTAAATGTAATCTGAAAGAGTGTATTTTTTTCTTTTTAAAGATTTATTTATTTTTGTATATAAAAACTGGGATACAGGCCAGAGGTATGGGGGTGTGTGTGTGTGGATTCACCAGAGACAGAGTGGGGAGTAAAGCAGGTGGTATGACTAAAATACATTGCTGAGGGAAGCAGCTAGTGAAGCAGGAAGAAGTCTGTTGTGCCAATGGGGTCACCTCCCAGGCAGGAGATTGAACTAGTGCTTTTGTAGCTGCCAAAAGCTCCACAGTGCTGTGCTTTAACCCCCTGTGCCACTAGGGAGGGCCCTGAAAAAATTATTCTTGATTAGAAAAAGGTTTCATTAGCCTTGGCCTGTTATTTATCTAAGTTCACCAAGAATGTTAACCAACAATGTGGGCTTCCTCAAGTTTACTTTGCAAGTCCAGAGGAAATACATGCCATATTGAAAAAACACTAATACATCTTAAACTTTCGTAAAGATACTCAAGTTTGACTTTTACAAGGTTAGGGAAATAAATCCAAGAAATCTCCACCACATTTCTATTATAATACTTAAGAATTCGAGTAAGTCTCTCAGCATCGCCAGGATTCCTGGCTTGCCATGAGGGTCTTTCTTACTGCCTGTAAGACTGCAACCCTGTAAATCAGGCACAACTCCAGTTTTATAGGGACAACTTCATAGGTATTGACTGTATAAAATCGACTTTTTAAAAGAATGTTTTAATGAGCTTGTCATACCTGATTAAATGAGAATTTTCAAAAAGTGACATCAAATATGAAAAAGCTCTCACTCCTTCTGTCATGTGTCCATACATGGAAGTTAGCAATTTGCAATACAGGACAGAATATAGTACTTTGATCTTGGATTTCCTAGCCTATAGAACTAACAAATAAATGTTTCAACCACTCACAATATGTTACTTTTTCAGCAACCTCAATTGCCCAGGAGATGGCTTTGGTTACAAAATTAACTTGTTCAACTATAGCCTAGTAAAGGAATACAGATTTCTTTTATATACAGCCATAAAATATAGAGAAATTCAGTAAATGTTTGTGAATTCTGAGGACTCAGAATTATATCATTTTAAAATTCCAGCTTATAGTAGACTGGTTCAGGCCCCATGGAAAGCAGTGTGGAGACTCTTTAAAACATTAAAAATGGATCTGTCATAGAATCCAGCAAATCTATTTCTAGGTATCTACCCCAATAATACAAAAACACTAATATAATAGAAACCTGAAATCCTATGTTTATTGCAGTCCTATTTATACTAGCCAAGATATGGAAACAACCTAACTGTCCCAAAATATGAGTGGATCAAGAAGAAGTGGTATACACACATAGTGGAATACTACTCACCAATAAAAAAGATAAACCCATGCCTGTTGCAGCAACATGGCTGGAACTGGAAGTGATTACGCTAAGTGAAATAAGCCAGGCCAGGAGAAAGATAAATACCAAAAGGGTCAAACAAAGAAAAATTGTACAATGAAACCTTCAAAACTGACCATAGATCTGATGCATCCTAGAGAAGCAAGAGGTGGGGAGGGATAAGAATAGAGGGGGTTTGGAAGGATGAGCACAATGACTATAGGGAGGGGTTATGGGTACTTTGGTGTTAGAGAGCTATATTGAAGACACCTAAGGGAAGAAATCCTATATAACCAAAATATTAATGAAAGTGTAAAACAGTATTACTTCATTATTTAAAAAATAAAGTGAAATTCCAGCCCAGAAGCAGTCCAATAAATTAAAAGCTAGAGATGGTTTAAGAATTAAAAAGAGCTCCCTCATATAGCTAAAGAAATAGAACATGAAAACTGTATCAAAATATTCTGAACAAGCAGCCATGATTAAGTTTTTATCATTTCTTCATGTAGTATCTGTAACTGTTTTGCTGGACCATGGGCCCATGAAATGCTTTTAGAAGTTGTCAGCTTCCAGACTACATAGTCCTAGAAATCCTAATTAAGTTCACTAGCACAGTGTCAAGTTTGTCTAAGATATGTACACTTGGCTTTCCTCTTCTCCCCTCCCCTTCTTTCCTATCCAAAGCTATAAGAGAAAAGAAAAAATATCTCTACTTGGAAGTCTGCACTGGAGAAGAGACTGTTCAAAGTATGTAATCCTTTCCAGGAAGCTCTGATGAGACTGCTTCTTCTTGAATGCAGTCTTTGGCCTATAACTTATAGCAGAGTTTTAAACTAGCATCAGAGAAAAGAAATACTGTATAGTAGAGGGTGACTGTCTTAGTTTGGGCTGCTGTAATAATACCATAGATTCAATGGCATAAACATTAAACAAACATTTATTTCTCACAGTCTCGGGACTAAGAAATACATCATCAACATAATGACCCTTTCCTATGGTGAAGACTGCTAATTTCTTATATCCTCCATGACAGAAATAAGACAAATGTGCTTTATGCAGTACAAGAGGACTAACTCTACTCTCCTAACCTAGTTATTTTCCAAAGGCCCCAATTCCTAGTACCATTCATTACATTAGGTACTAGGATTTCAATATATAAATTTTTGGAGGCCAAATTCATTTCATTCCAATGACCAAGGCTGAAACTACCAGTTTTTTACTATACTTAACATCAGAATGGAAAAGAGTAAAGATTTCTACAGTATAATGCATAACGATTTCAGAAGAATATAAGCATTATTTCCCCTAAGGAAAACAAGAGTACTGACAAATCTCCATTTGTCATATGCACATGTATATATCTTTGGACATATTTATAATAACATTTTACCTACACAAATTTAAGATAAGAAAGGCTAAGTTAATCTGATTTACTTACCAGCTTTGTCTACAAAGCTCTCAATAGAGCTGATAATTAAAGAAATATGGATACAGGATATAAACTTAATAATTTCTAGTATCTGTTTATAAGATGAAAAAAAAAACAGATTTTTTTCTGATTTTTCCAGGCCCTTTCCTCAGAAAATGTTAGAGACTTTAAACGTAAAATAGACCAGCAATCTTTACTTTTCTTTAAATATTACCTTGGAAAGGCAAATCAGAGATGTTAAAAACATCTGCTTAGAATAGAAAATAATATAAAAAAAACCTTATTTGTTATAGTAAAGGAAAACTGAACTAAAATACTGATAAATACATTAAGAAGGTGACTGGAGTGTTCTGTAAGGATTAGCAATTATCACTTAGTCATAAAAAGCTCAACTCAGTAGAAACCGGTAATACTAGACTTAATGGCCTTTAAGTAATAAGTGGCTTCAAAGTATAAATGGGTATTATCAACAAAATTACAGGGAAATTAACTCTATCATCAGAGTAGGTGCAATACTCGATCACTGATAGATAGTTCACGTTACAGTCTAATGAAACCTCCAAATTGCCACTAAAACAAATCAGTTTTAAGAGAATAGCGTGCCAATATTTTCTTTTTTTCTTTTTTTTGCATGCCATTATTTTCTAATAGTTGGTCAATAATGCTTGTTAAGCATGAAGTAAGTGAACAAATCAAAACAGCTATAATTGTTTCAGGGCAACCCAATGTGAATTGGGTTGAAACATAATGACATCCAGAAAAAAAAAGATTTATTTATGCAGACGGTAACTGGAGTACAGTCCAGAGGTCAAGGGGGTGAGAGGATTCACCAGAGACAGAGTGGGGAGCAAGAACAGACCGACTGTCGAAGTACACTGCTGAGGAGAGCAGCAGAGCGGGCAAGATAGGAGAGGTCTGCTACTATGTGGGTCACCTCCCTGGCCAGGAATAGAATTCATGCTGAACTCGGGGCTGTTGCTAGCTAGCTTCACCGTGCTTGCGCTTTAACCCGTTGTGCCACCAGCGAGAACCTGACATCCAGAAAATCTTAATTCCGGGACACTTCTGAAAATGTTCATAAAAGGCAGCTGGTTGTTTCTTTTTTGAAAGTAATTCCTAATTTTTAACTACTGGCACTTTCTGAAAGTAGTGGGAGCTGGCGCAGGAAAGAGGGAGCCGAACCCGGAATGAAAATGTCAGACAGGAAGGTAACAGTCAAAAGACACCTTATAGACACGTAGTGTTGGAGCTCTACTAATTACGTCATCTCAGGTCTCCAGAGAACCGAGAACCTGAAGAGCAAATGATTGCTTAACCGTAATATATTACTTAAAACGGCTTTTCACACACCCCGGTGACGGCGGGAGTAGAAAACAGGCTCCGCAGACGGCACGCAGGCAGTTAGCGGGGTCCTACCGCAGCCACAAAACTGCTCCGTCCTTCAGGCAGGAGGTTGGTCAGCTATGTCGGGGCGTGGAGGGGGCCTGAGGAGCGCTTCTGCGCAGGCGCATGCTGCCTAAGTCTCCCCTGGAACTAGTCACGTTCTCTTTTCGCTTTCAGACATGGTGAGTGTGGCTGTGTCCTCTGCGCTCCTGCATGGGTGGGTTGGGTGGGGACTGGGCTGCATGATCACTTAGCTGCTCAATTCTCCAAGCTTGATGCCCAGTACTGGAGAACAGTTGAGTTAAGACTTGGGCTTTGAATGGGTTCTTGAGGGCTCGGAAAGGTGGAGAAATTAGTCAGCGTTTTCTGCTGACCTCGCGGGCACAATTACTGCTTCTAATTTTGTTCAGGCTTTGGGCGGGCCTCAGGATTCCCTTTACAGAGCCAGGGCATTTTTAAATCCCTTTACAGAGCCAGGGCAGTCCTTTAAAAAAAGAAAAAAAGAGGTTCAAAACATTTAGAATTACTAGTTTGTTTTTTTTTTCGTTGAAGATATTGTAGATCTTAGATCGGAGCCGAAGGAAATAAGCTGCTAATCTTTTTGCGGTCTAAGTACAGAGAATTTAGATGGGGGAGGGTGAGGGAATGCCTGCCATTAGAAACAGTGCCCATAGCACCTTGGGACATGTGTTTATGTTGAAAGTAAGAGTAAAGGTGAATAAAAGCTTAGTAACATTAGGTACACAGAAGGTGCTTTGAAATCTGAATTGCTAGACTTAATAGAATGGAATTTCGTTAAAGAACTACAAGTGATGGGCTACCTAACTTATCTTAATAGCTTCATCTGTTTTCAGCATGTAAACGTTAAGTTCTGAGTTGGGAAGCTTTGTACTCTACGGTATTGTATTTCACTGTAAGTGAAAGTGATAGCAGACATTTTTTGGGTCAATGATGAGTTGGCATGTATTCTGAATCTAAAAGTTGATTATTTCAACTATAGCTCTAGAATTACTCTGAGACCTGAAAAAAAACTGAATCTTAACTACGAGAGCTTCAATGTTTGAATTACTGCATGGCAGCTTTTGTACTGCAAAATGAAAATATGTTTAGATGTGTATTGAATACACTCTTTGGGCAGAACATTAGAAGGTTAACGTTATGAAACAGTGCTTTTTATTTTTTAAAAGGGTACACCACAGAAGGATGTTGTTATCAAGTCAGATGCACCTGACTCACTGCTCCTGGAGAAGCATGCAGATTATATTGCATCCTATGGCTCAAAGAAGGATGATTATGTATGTATGATTTTTGTGTTGAGAAATTTTAAAGTGAGGCCATACTTCATAAGCAGTCATTATTTATGGCCGGTGCTTCATAAAAATGTTACTTCTTGGTGTGCCAAAGACTGAAAAGTATGTCCATGAAATGCAGCAAGAGTTGCTTTTTGTGGGGATATGAGTTTGACGATCCATCATAATTAGGGATGATTTCTACCTGTACTTTTTTTTTTTTCCTACCTGTACTTTATACTGACCCTGATAGACAAAATACTTTCATTTCTAAAATGTAAGGTGGTGGAGGTACTATTTTCAAGGTCAATGATGTGTTGGCATGTATTATCTGAACTTTAAAGCTGATGTGTAATAACACTTAAGCTCTAGAATTACGCTGAGACCTTGAGAAAGTTACCTTAAGTTTTAAATTTGGAAGAAGTTTTCCTCTCAGGAACAGTAACCTAACTGAAATTATATCATTTCCCCCATAGTGTCCAAAATACCTGAATTAGCAACTGTTTTGGAGTGCATAGTGTTGGTCAATTCTACTGTGGTTGTATTCTACTGCCCATCTGCTAATTGTTCAATCAATGGAGAGTTGTAGCAAAAGATTGAAATTATTGATGCAAGAATTTGTTATTGGAGTCCAAGTATTCATTTCTCCTTCGTTAGGTGCTGTTATGTATTTTTTGAACTTATGCATGCTTTCGTTATTTCAAATTCAATCTTTGCTATTTACTAATGGATAGCTTTCATTAATAGTCCAAATATTAAAATAGTGTATGTGTACTAATGTGGTTAGTTTAAAAAGGCCACATGTCCAACACTAACTAGTTTTTAAGAGGTAGGTCTTTTCATTCAACTTCTGTTGGACTCTTGGTAGAAACTAAAGCCCTATGTATACTGTCAGAGGTGAAGATGTTCCTTAGACCTCAGATACTTATCCCTCTAAACTCAGTAGGCAGAAGTATATGCTCATTTTACTGGTGTGTTAGAATGAAGTGAAATTTGGGGTCGGGGACTATACTAGTTCCCTTTATGTGTTTGTTCTCTCTAACCCAGTATCAGTTCAAATTTACACATTAAAGTAATTGTGTTTTTAGGAATACTGTATGTCTGAGTATTTGAGAATGAGTGGCGTCTATTGGGGTCTGACTGTTATGGATCTTATGGGACAACTTCATCGCATGAATAGAGAAGAAATTCTAACATTTATTAAGTCATGTCAACACGAATGTGGTGGAGTAAGTGCTAGTATTGGACACGATCCTCATCTTTTGTACACACTTAGTGCTGTCCAGGTAAATACTGATTAAAATCAAGTCATGGTGTAATCTTTTAAATTGAGAGCAGGGATACTGAAATTGAGGTATTAGAAGGTGACAAAATTACCTTCTGTTGAAAAGTTCTTTTTAAATGAAGTTGCTACAAGGTCTGTGATGTTTAATGGCATGTATTAGCTGATTTCCAAAGTTGATGGAAACTGAAATTACACTGAGACCTTGGATAATAATGTTTTCAGTATATGTAAATATCTGGAAAATCTCCAGGCGGAGTGAAATGATTTATCTTGACATTAGTGAAGATCCCACAAATACTGAGTTGTTTCTCTTCTATAAACACAAGTTAGTATATTTAGATCTTGCTATGCTAATTTTCAATTTGAATGCAGAAAATAAATTATTTTAAAAATAACATGGCTAAATATTGGATTTATTGATTTTTTTTACTGTATATGAAAGTCTCTGAGAAATGTTCGCAGTATGCATAGACAAGAATACGCTGTACAATAATAAAACATAAGCAAAGTTCTCAGTTTTGAAGAGGTATTTAATATGGCTTGTTTTTGTTACAGATCCTTACTTTATATGATAGTATTAATGTTATTGATGTAAACAAAGTTGTGGAATATGTTCAGAGTCTACAGAAAGAAGACGGTTCTTTTGCTGGAGACATTTGGGGTAATGTCAAGTTTAAATTTATGCTATTCGATACCAATATTAAAATATTACATTTTAGTGTTTTTATGGTAGTAAACTTTGTTGGAAAAAAGTACAATGGATGGGAACTTGTTAGTAATTTATAAGGAGATTTTAAGTTTTTCATTTTTTCAGGTCCCACTAAGCAGCTGGTCTAACTGGAGTTTATGGTTTGCTGGAAGTTCCAGCATGCACTGTGCTAGTTATATCAGCATAAAGGAGCACTGGAACAGAGGGGGCCAGTCTAAAAGATTTAAGGTAGGTGATATTTTTTTCCCCTGATATTTGGTGACTTTGTAAAGTTTTTTACAGAAATACTGGCTAGGGGAAAAGAAAACTTTACAAATTTACTGAATATTTGAGTGGAGGGAGGGAATAATACTTTACTTGATAAATGTAGATAATCTCTGCTTTAGGGCTCAATACAGTGCAGGCCGGAGAGACCAGCTGCTTCATGGGATGTGAAAATCTACTTTTATATAATAGGGTAAGTGTGTCATTAGAAATTGATTATTTTGGTTCTGTTACTTTATTTTTTTTTTCTGGCCACTTCATAAGTGATTTGCTGGTTTTTTGTTTTTGTTTTGTTTTTTTTGGACAGTGTTTTTGTATAAATTTTAGTAGCCTTAGAGAAATCAAGGCATTTCATTCAGATGTCGTTTCTTTTCTGGTGACCTAAAAGTAAATAAGTGTTAGGTTCAAAATCTCCAAAACTTACTGTAGTTGTTATACAATATAATCAGAGTCTTCTGATGCCATGTTTGTTTGCTCTTTTTCAGGAGAAATTGATACAAGATTTTCTTTTTGTGCTGTGGCGACTTTGGCTCTGTTGGTAAGTTTTAAGTATTGAGATGAGTAAGCCATTGTGAATGTGTCACAATTTTTATTGGCATTTTCTTTTATTTTATAGGGGAAACTAGATGCTATCAATGTGGAAAAGGCAATTGAATTTGTTTTATCATGTATGAACTTTGATGGTGGATTTGGTTGCAGACCAGGTTCTGAATCCCATGCTGGGCAGGTAATTGATTAGTACAGATTAAATGTAGCAGTTTTTAAGGGCTAATCAGTGTAATAAATTGGTTAATAAAAACTGCATTTCTGTTAAAATGAAATTAATTTGAAAGTGACATGTTAGATTAGAATTGCTGGTTAACAAAGGCATTTTTCAGCTTCCCACTCTGCCTCTGGTGAATCCTTCCACCCTCCTCACTTCTAGCTTACATCCCAATTCTTGTATGCATAAATAGATAAAAAGAAAATAAAAATAAATCCTAGGTGAAAAGGGAAGGCATTTTTTTTTTAGAACTTTTAATTTAGTTACCGCTTGTTGATGTGGACACTGACACAAGCGGCTGTATAGTAGGTAAAAACATTAACTAAACAAATGTAAAGTTTTTCCTACCTGTCTGAGCAGCCATTTGCTTTTGCCAGAGAATGTTTTTGTAAATAGTTTGCAAATAAAGTTTACTTAAAAATTTTGATGAACATTTCAATGTAGAATTGGATTCTTGTAATTTTTCCAGTTAAGTGATACTTTGTAATACTAAATGTCAGAAAGAAAATTTTTAGATGTAAAATTGAGTATTTTAATTTATAGTTTTTATCACTATTAAAATTATTATACACATGTACTTTATGTCTGTAATTTTAGATCTATTGTTGCACAGGATTTCTGGCAATCACTAACCAGTTGCATCAAGTAAATTCTGACTTACTTGGATGGTGGCTTTGTGAAAGACAGTTACCATCTGGTGGGCTCAATGGAAGGCCAGAGAAGGTACAGTATTTTATAAATAATCAGCTATGTTATCATAGCTCTGTATCTTTAGTGAGTACCATTGTTTACATTTCTGAATATTATCTTTTTAAGTTAATAAAATGAGCTTTTACCTTTTCATTTTCACTAATAGAGTAGTACCATCCAAATGCTTTTGGCAAAAGTGAAATGGCTGAGTGTTTTAAGAGACTATTAAAATGTTTATGATGCACTTTGCTACTTTGCCTAGAGAAATGAAACATCACCTTAGATTTCATGAGCCAATTTTCTGTGATACAGGGGACTGATTAGACATTCGTTGCATATAGAAAGTAGATAGGATGGTTGTTGCTGAGTCCTGAAACATTTAGCATGGTGTTCCCTGCATAGGAGTGTCTCTGCTAGAGACGGTTTTAAATTCTAACCACTTATATTTATGGATTCAGAATGTGAAACACAGCCATTCCCTTATCCTCCCTAGTGTTTGGTAGAACATAAAATTGTGGCAACTTGTATGTTTTTTATTTTTAATTTGCTAGTTACCAGATGTGTGCTATTCGTGGTGGGTGTTGGCTTCACTAAAGATAATTGGAAGACTTCATTGGATTGATAGAGAGAAACTTCGTACTTTCATCTTGGCGTGTCAAGATGAAGAAACAGGAGGATTTGCAGATAGGCCGGGAGATATGGCAAGTATATTTTTGATGCTTATTTTAAAATTTTTATTTATGCATACAGAACTGGGGTACAGGCCAGAGGTGCAGGATTGGTGAGAGGATTCACCAGAGGCAGAGCAGAGAGCAGAACAGGCAGATGGACTAAGTACAAAGTACACTGCTGAAAGGTAGCAGTGGGTAGGTCAGGAGAGGTCTACCCCTCCATGTGGGTTACCTCCCTGGAGGGGACCAAAGCAGCTGTGGCAAGCTTCATCGCGCTGTACTGTAACCCCGACCCCTTGGCACTCCTTGCAGAGGGTCCTGCTTTGCATTTTTATACAGCTAAGTGTTTCCCTATTGTAAAGGGATGATCTTCCAAGTGCTGCTCAAAGCAGGATACAGTTTTGCTATTTTTTGAGAATGAAGGATAGAAAGCAAGTTTACAGACTTCTTACCAAGTGCTTCTTCTATAAACGTCACATATGATAAGGGTGTCTTGAAAACCGTTTTGAAGTCAACTTTATTTCAGAAAACTTAATAAACATAATTTAATGTGAAGCGATCAATATGACAAACTGCATTATAGTTAACCATCGTTCAGAAGCATAATTTATTATGCTCTATAATAAATTCTCATTTTTAAAAATAGGTGGATCCTTTTCATACTTTATTTGGAATTGCTGGATTGTCACTTTTGGGAGAAGAACAGATTAAGCCTGTTAGTCCTGTTTTCTGCATGCCAGAAGAAGTTCTTCGAAGAGTCAATGTTCAGCCTGAATTAGTGATCTAGATACATTGGTGCAAAAGTTGTGCTTTAAGATAGTTTTGCTGTTTTAACATTTGCTTTATGAAAAGTGCTTATCAAACCTAAATGACTACTGTTAATATTTATATGAATTCTGTTAATTTTAATAAATTATATAATTATATATTGTAAAATAAAGGCCTTTATTGTATCTTCAGCTTTAGATTCTTCTGGAATGCTCTATTTACATTTGTGGAATGCTATTTTATGTTATATAATACTGATGTGAATCAGTCTGTTAATGAATTAATGTTAACTGATAAACCTCACACATGAATTAAAGGTACACAAAAGTGAACGACTGTTGAAATTTGGGAATATTTCATAGATTTGTGGTTATTCTAAATCAGTCACATAAGTAATTCAAGATAAATGGCAATTCACCTTGGAATAGAATTGTCTGGACCATAACAAGTTACCCCAATAAGCAATTTATATGCTTAAGGGGTTTTTGGTCATTTCACCCATCATGTAAGGAAACAGTTGATAATTGTCCCAAGTCTATTTAATACGAAAAAAATATTCAGTAATTTACTTCCTGTATTTCATAAAGATAAAGATTTATTGTTTAGGCATACATGAACGGGTGTAGGTTGGAGTTGGCGGAGGTTGATTCACCAGAGACAGAAGCAGGAGTAAAACTGGCAGATTTGCTGAAATGCAGTACTGAGGGGAACAGTGGGCAAGACAGGAGAGACCTGAGATATAGCTGTGCCATCTGGGGGTCCAACCCATGCTACAGTGGCTGGTGTTAGCTTTGATAACAATCTTAACTACTGTGCAGCCAGGGAGTCCCTAGTAGAGTATAAAATGGTGAGAAGTATTTGAATGTGTAACATTGAGCACTGATTTTTGCAGTGTGTGTGAAGACCTTACTGGAAGTATGAACTCTGTTTTAAATGGGTATTTTTTGATGGTATCTGGGTGTTTTCTCAGTCCTAACATTATGAAGTTAGTACTATTCCCATGCTCAAGAAAAGTCAATTTCCATCAGGCCATTTGCTATAAAACTGAGATCTGCTTTTTGTATTCATAGGTATGTGTGAAGACAATAAGTTGAGAATTGTTCCATGGGTTGAAGTTTAGTGCTATAGAGCTATTTTCAGCCACTGCAGCACAGGTTTGAGACCTGGCTAGGGAGGTGGCCCACATGGTGCAGCATACCTCTCCTATCTTGCCTGAGGCTCTCTTTAGCAGTGCATTTCAATCTGTTCTGTATGTCACTCTATTGAAGTCTCTCACCACCCCATGTCTCTGGTTTGTACCCTAGTTCCTGTAAGCATAAATAAATAAAAATCTTTAAAAAAAAGTATCTGGTTCCAGTGATAAGGCACTTTAAGCAACTGATATTAGTTTATTAAAAAAAATAAACTCCCAAGAGATCTCGTCCATTGTGTCCCTAATTCCTAATGTACTGTGCACAATCATGTGCATACTGGATGAAGGGCAATCTCAGCAGTGACAAACAACCTTGTTATTTCTAAAGGAGTAAGTTAAGGCTCTAGGAAGGATAATGTTACATATGGATAACTAAGTGAGCATTAAATACTCAAACTTTCTCTGCATTGGGTGCATATTGGACAACTTTATGTTTAAAGATGCAAATATGTGGAGGTATATGGAAAAAAGCATTAAACACTATGATAAGGGAAATAAATTTTTCCAAATCATGATCATTGATAGGCCTTTGGGGATCTTGCAGGCAGTTTGAATCAGGCTACATCACTTCATAACCAAGTTTTATACAAGATGAGACTGGAATTTGCAGTGATTACATTCCCATGTTTGGACGGGGGAAAGATGAGCATGTGGCAAACGCCCTCGTGCGCCTGCGCGCTGCAGCTCCGTAGCTCCGTGCGCCTGCGCACAGGCTGCGCACAGTTCTCCCGCGGTTTTTCTCAAACGGCTTTTGCCTCTGGCCCCACGAAGCCGCGATCGGAAGTCTCATTATTGGCAGTGGCAGGATTTGTGAGGATGCTGAGGCCTGACATCACAGCAACTTCGCCTTGCGTCCCAGCGGCGTCCCCATCATTAGAGGGTTGGTCACTGGGCCCCTGTTATAATTTCGGACTTCAGGAGACCCCTCAGCGCCGTCTGTCAGGACGGGCCTCCGCGCCGACACCCTGCGACACATCGGGCGCTGCCGGCGACCGGAGCAGCAGCAGCAGCAGTGTCCCTGGCCATCCGGCCAGCGCCGGGCCCGCTCAAGGCAAGCAGATTACGGGTGGAGGCGGGACGGGTGACAGGTCCACACTCTCGGGGGTTCAGGCGCATTGGTTAGTACCATTGAGACGTTTCATTTGTGGTTTGGTTGGAGAACTGCTATGGAAATGGGAAAGTGGGAATCTCGACATTGATTCTATTGTAAGTCTCTCTGATGGTGGATGAGTCAGTTCTGAGTAGGTGTGAATGGACATCTAAATCGGTGAAACTGTTATGTTTCATTTGCCAAGTTTCAAGAGAAACTCAGGAGAAATATACATGGTAGGATAAAGGGAATTTTTGTGGAAAAAGCACTTTTAGAAGAAAAATGATGCTTACTCTCGTGGACATATTGAATGTGAGGAACCTCTAGGATGTTCACATTTTCACATTGAGGTGATTAAATATATGGATTGAGACCTAAGTAGAGAAACTCAAGAGAATACACATTTGAAAGTTACCAGTATATTTGCGGCAGATGGAAGAATATAAAGATATACAAAACTGAGTTCAAGAAAATTGAATGAAAACTAAGGCACGTTTCAAGAAAGGGACCTAATGATAAAGTGACTTCAAAACAAATAGTGTCTCCAGTTTTCGGTAATTTCTTCCTTAGCTTCTTTAAGCTTAGGGATGGTTTTTACACACTTCTTTATAATGGCCTTACATCCTATCATAATTTGTAATACTCCTTTTATCAAACTCCTCAAATTACTATGCTTTCAGTGTATTATCTGAGTTCTGTGGAGACCCCCTACAAAGAAGTCAAATTTTATCTGATATTGGAGACACTAAGGAATTGTTAGGAAGGGCGATATGGTGAAATTTCTTTTTCAGCAGATCACCGGTGATTAATGTGAGAATAGGTAAGAAAAGCATAGTACTCAATTCGAGAAGAAATGGCAGACTTGCAAAAGAACTGAAGACGTTAGGGCTTAAAATAGACTAGTAGGATTGGAGATGAAGAGAAATTTTAAACAAAAATAAGACAAGACTTGGTCACTGATTGTGTTTTAGGATTGAATAAAAGGAGTTAGAAATAACTGTTAAGTTTATAACTTGGGTAACAAAAGATGGTACAATTGATCATGACAGATAATAAGGAATAAATTTTGAAGGAAAGAATGAACTTTTGCATATTTAAAGTTCTGGGTAAACAGAAATTTATATACACAAGATCTAGTTAGAGCTATGCTATCTAACAACGTTCTGATGATTTAAATAGCTTATAGTGAAAAGCTGCTATATCAAACTGCACGTATAGGTCTAAGAATGGCTTTTGCATTTATGAAAGTTTGAAAAAAATAAAAAATAATTATATTGGTGACATGAAATTTATATAAAATTCAAATTTTAGTACCTAGAAATAAAACTTTATTGGAACAAACATGCTCAGTCATTTGCCATATCTGTGGTTTCTTTTCTGTATGTTTTCAGAGTTGAGTAATTTTGAGAGACCATATGGTCCAAAAAACCTAGAATATTTACCATCTGGCCCTTTATTGAAAAGTTTGCTGATCTGTGCTTTCGAGTATGAGGAGTTAAGGCCGTACATGAAGATTTTAGAATTGTCAGGAAATACATATTAATAGAAAGATAATAGATGAGATATGCAGAGAAAACATATAATGTTAATCTGTTAGAGAAAATGAAAAATATGAAATCCTGAGAAACCAAGAGCTAAGAGGCAGACAGAAGATAAAAGGATCTAGCAAAGGAAACTAAAAGCAAGTGGTTTAAAGAGAAGGAAGATAGTTGCCATGAAAAACAAGGAATAGGAGAAAAGAGCCCCACTATATATATATAAATAAAAAAAGTTCTATGTGTCAGGACACTATGCTAGCCTGCTATTGTACAGTCTTTCAAGTTTTATGACAACCCTAACAAAATAGTTATAGTCAATAGGAAACTACCTAAACAAGAAACTGAATTTATAACATTATCACAGAGTTTCAATGAAGAAGTCAAAGGGGAAGAGGCCTTATAAATACATAATTACTATAGAAAGTACACATCTGGTGTATTTGAAAACTAAAAGGTAATTGTTTTAGGCCAGAGTACTAACGTCTTGATGAACTTGCAGAAGCAAAAACCATATTAACAAGCATGTTCCCTTATATTTAAGTATAAGATAATTTATTAATAATGTCATTAAATTTGCCTTAATTTGTTATATTTTTAAAATTCATCAGATGTTCAGAGTGCATGGATATGTTATAAATTATGCAACATTGCCTAAGTCTGAATTTTTAAGAACTTACACTAATTTTTTGAATTTAGGTTTATACTTTGAAAGCAAAAGACCTTATGCAGAAAACACATTTGTTTCAGATTTTACTGTTGGTACAAGTTCATCTTCTGCACGAGATAGTAATTACCCTCAGATCCTAAAAACTCCAATGTCTGCTGGAAATGCCCAGAGATCAGGTTATAAAACTTGGACACCACAAATGGGATATTCAGGTAAAATAAGTGGAATGTTCACTTAGTTGACCATTTGAAACTCAATGTTTTGTAAATTAGGGAAGTTTCATTCATTTGAAGTTATTTATAATTGATATGGATGACTTAGTGATAGGTACATCAGTTTACCTATACCCATAATTTCAGGCTAATTAAAAAGGCTACATCATTTCTGAACTGTTTTTTTTTTTAATAAGTGTGGGCCTACATTATTATTTTTTTAATTTTGTAATAGTTTATTTTACATATTTTTGTGCATTTTTCCATCTCAGTTGCAATTCCCTTGGGTTTCCCATCACCAAATCACCCATGTGCTATCACCATAGTGCAGTGCATTTCCCTCCCCCAGCTGTTTTTGATCCCATTCCCCACTCTACTCCCACAAAATGTCTCTGGTATATAGCTGTTCATCATTATCATTATTTTCTCACCTGTTCCATTATATTCCTGCTATGAGAGAAACCATCTGGTATTTTTCCTTTTCTTTCTGGCTTATTTTACTAAGCATGAACTTTTCCAGCTCCATCCATGTTGCTGCAAAAGACATGTGTTTCTTTTTTTTTGGTTGCTGAATAATACTCCATTGTGTATATGTACCACATCTTTTTAATCCAATCATCCATTTTTGGGCATTTGGGCTGTTTCCATGTCTTTCCAATTGTGAATAAAGCAGCAGGCTTACATTATTTTAATTTAACCATTCTGACAAAATAGCACAGAAAGAGAAAGCACTCCCTTTTATATATATTTATTTCATTCTATAAGTTGGCTCTGATTCACTATTGAGTTTTATTTTAATGCCTAAGCTTCAGTTTTTTATATAAGTCTACCAGGTTTTCTTAAGGAGAAAATGGGTGAAATAGGTCATTATGTTAAGAATTCTCTAAAATACATAAAGTGGATTTCTTGGTTCCAGGGTATATGGATGTATACATGTACAAGATGAAGACATTTTTTTCAAAATGATTGGTCCAGTGTCTACTCTGACTAATGATAAATGAGAGTTCTTTTTGATATATAGCCTCTCTAACTACTATTGTTATTAGATGTTCTATAGTTTGAATTTGCATTTTCCGGTTTCTATTACGGTTGATTATATTTTTGTGTGCTTTTTGGTCCTGTATCATTTTTTTTTTTTGTGAAATGAGTGTTTTCTGGATTTGTGGAAATTCTCTCTTATTTAATCTACTTGTAAAGCTGAAATAGAACAACAAAGTATATTTCTGTTTCTTATCAATCTATTCCTTAATAAGATTTTGAAAACATCATTGTGAACTTCTTTTTTCCCTTATTTGTTACCTCTTCCTCCAGGCAGTCTGTTTGGGAAAGTGTTTGTGCAACATTCTTTGTACATTTTGAATGTACAAATCTTTTGATGATTTTGTGTACTGTATATATATCTCTAGTTTTATAGCTTGTCTTTTTACATGATGTCCTTTGGTTAACATCTTTAATTTTATATGTTAGTGAATGTTCTATATCTTAAAAGAATATTTTTTATAATTGTGTGTATATTTTAGGTCATTAGTTTAATTATGTTTAAATCTGTAATATACTTATTTGAGGAGGCTTGTTAAAATTTCCCATTATCATTTTGAACTATTTCTCTTACTCTGTATATTTTGAAGTTAGTTTAGTGGAATATAAAAATTTAGGCGTATAGGATTTCTCCCCTCAGGTGTGCCATCGCAGTTCTCCCATTACCAAAACACCCATCATCCTCTACCATAGTCCATTGTATCCTCCCTGCCCCCTCCTAGTTCCTCTTTCTCCTCCTCTGATGCCTCAGATCTGTGGTCAACTTTTAATGTTTATCTTTGACTCTTTCTCTATATTCCACATATAAGTGATACCAGCCAGTATTTATCTTTCTTTTTCTGGATATTTCACTTAGCATAATACCTTTTAGCTCTACCTTTGTTGCTGCAAATGGCTTGAGTTTATCTTTTTGATTGCTGAGTAGTAAATAGTCTATTGTATGTGTGTGTGTGTATGTATCACATCTTCTTGATCCACTGATCTGTTCTTGGACATTTAGGTTATTTACATATCTTGGCTGTTATAAATAATGGGGCAATACGTAAAGGACTACAGGTTTCATTTTGAATTAGTGTTTTCATGTTCTTTGGGTACATGCCTAAGAGTAGATTTGCTGCTGGTCACTTGGCAGAACCATTTTCAGTCTTTTAAAGAGTCTCCACACAGTTTTCTGTGGGGACTAGGCCAGTCTACATTCACACCAACAGTATAAATGGCTCCTTACTCTCTACAATCATTGGCACCTGCTGTTTCTGATTTTTATAACATAGGCCGTTCTTCCACAATGCCATGGATAACATAGGCCATTCTTACTTGTGTGAGGTGGTATCTTATTGTGGTTTGATTTGTTTTTCCCTGATGGTAAGTGATGATGAACATGTTTTCATGTTTGTTGATTGTTTGTCTTATTTGAAGAATTGCCTTTTTAACTCTTCATTTTTTAAGTTAGGTTATTTGGTTTTTTTTTTCTGTTGTTGAGTTGTATAAACTCTTATACCTTTAATATAAATCCTTTGTTAGATGAATGATGTACAAATATTTTCTCCCCTTCAGTAAGGTATCTCTTTATTTTGGTTACAGTTTCTTTTGCTATGCAGAAGCTTTTTAGTTTGGTGTAGTCCCAATTGTTTATATTCTTTTTATTTTATTTATTGATTTATTTTTGCTGCTGGGGACATATCTGCAAAGATCACTAAAGTTTATGTCATAGAATGTTTGCCTATTTTTTCTACTGTATAGCTTATGGCTTGGGATCTTATATCCAGTCTTTTACCCATTTTTTAAAAGTTATTTTTGATGAGAAAAATTATTCTTTTATAACTGTTAAGTTATATAAAATGAACTAAAATCATTAATATTCATACATTTTTTCCTGTAAATGCTTTTTAAATAGCTACATCCTCATCTGCAGTTTCTGCACACTCTCCATCAGTTATTGTAGCTGTTGTAGAGGGAAGAGGACTTGCCAGAGGTGAAATAGGAATGGCAAGTATCGATTTAAAGATTCCACAAATTATATTATCTCAGTTTGCAGACAACACAACATATGCAAAGGTATGTATTTTTTCATTTGATAGATTTATTTATTTATGCATGCCAGAACTGGGATATAGGGCAGAATGCCGGACGTGAGTGGATTCACGAGAAACAGTGGGGAACAGAACAGGTGTAATGACTGAAATAGACTGCTGAGGAGAGCAGTAGGCAGGACAGGAGAAGCTCTGCCATGCCATGTGGGTCACTTCCCTGGCTGGGGGTCGAAGTAGTGCAGCAGTAACTGTTGCTAGCTTCATAGTGCTAGGCTTTAGTCTGTGGCACCACCAAGGAGGGCCCAAGGTATGTTTTTATAATCCTAGAATATGGTTAATCCAGTGGGCATTATTTTGATCTTCAAGTCAGTGCTTTACTAATTAATATACTTTTTGGTAGAATAAAGTTACCTATGATTGCATCAGGGTAGATTATTCTGAATTGAAATAAAATTGTGTTACATCCAAGTTCACATTTTCAGCCTATTGTGTCTTAAAAATAATGTGTTGTACTGTTACCTGAACATTCCAAATTATTGTACTATTGATTTAGAATTAGTACTTTTAAATTAATGATTCTTAGACTCATGAACAAAGTAATGTATGTGATAAGGCTGTCCCCAGAGGGTCCTCTGAACTGTATTTGAATTTTATTTTTCATTGTTAAGGGAAACTGGTTTTGTAGCTCTGTTAGTCTCTTGCCTTCATTTCCTGTAAGTTGTCAGTTTGAGCCACTGGCCTATTATCATGGGAATTTGCCAGGTAGAAGAGTCTGTTTCTAATTTCTGTATTCCAAAGGTTTATTTGGCACAATTACTATTATTTTTAAAATATGGCATTCTGTAATAAACTGTATTTTTCTTTATTCCTTATTTTTAAAATTTTTTAATTGAAGTGAAATTTAGATACCCTCATCAGGTAAAGTGATATGCCACCATCGTGCTCCCACCACCAAATCACCCATAGTTCACCACCATGGTCTGTTGTGTTTCCTTCTTCTTTTATTTTTTACCCTTCTTTTTTTTTTTTTTTTTTTATCCCTGTCACAGCCTAGTACTTCAGTTCAATCAGCTATCAAGTGTTAGTTTTTCAGCTTATCTTTATCTGGCTCTTAGTTTAGTTACTTTACATTCCATATTTAGTGATGCCATATGGTATTTATCTTTCTCCATCTGACTTATTTTATTTAGCATTATCTCTTCCAGCTTCATCCATGATGCTGCAAATAGCATGAATTTAACCCTTTTTTGATTGCTGAGTAATATTCTGTTTTATATTTATACTGTGTCTTGATCCACTCATTTGTTTTGGGCAATTAAATTGTTTCCATAATTTAGCTATAGTAAATAGTGTTTCAGTAATCCTTGGGAGTGCAAGTTACTGTTTGAATTAGTGTTTTTAAATTTTTTGAATAGAGATGTAGGAGTGGAATTACTAGGTGGATTTTTTAGACACGTCCACACTACTTTCCATAAAAGCTGGACCAGGTTGCATTCCCACCAGCACTTTAGGAGGGCTCTCTTTTCTCTGCATCCTTCTCAGCACTTGTTTCCGGTCTTTTTCATATGGGTCATTTTCATAGATGTGACATGGTCTCTCATTGTGGTCTTGACTTGCATTTCCCTAATTATAAATTATAGTGAACATTTTTCATGTGCCTGTTTGCCATTTGTATGTCTTTGTAGGAAAAGTGTCTCTTTAGTTCGTCTGCCTTTTTTTATTGTGTTATTTCTTTTGCTTTTGTGGAGTTATATGAGTTCTTTAGATATATTTGATATTAGTCCTTTGTCAGATGTAGAGTGCACAAATATTTTCTCCCATTCAGTAGGTTGTCTTTTCATTTTAATTATGGTTTCTTTTGCTGTGCAGCAGCTTTTTAGTTTGTTGTATTTCCAGTTGTTTATGTAATCCTCTTTGTAGTTCCTAGAATGTAGATTTCCTTTTCCTACCTAATACATTTTTGGCATAGTTAACCCTAAATGATACTGGTATTGCATAATAAGTTTGTCTCGGGTTCCTTCAATTTTTTTTTTTTTTTTTGCACGGAAAAACCGGGGTGTAGCCTGAGATGTGGGAGTGGTGAGAGGATTCATCATAGTCAGAATGGGGAGTTAAACAGGCAGATCTAGTGAAATACATTATTAAGGGATCAGCGAGTGAGACAAGAAGCAGATGTGCTATATGTGGGTTAGTTCCCTGGCTGGGGATCAGACTCATGCCATATTTGTGATTGGTGTTGAGAATTAACCCCTAGACCACCAGGTAGGCGCATACTTCATATTTTTTATGTAATTCAAAAAGAATAGAAAAGAAGGAATTAAAAAGAAACTTCAGGAATGAAAGGCAAACTTAAGAATTTATGTGTCTTTGTAGTTCTAAGAAATGTATGACTAAATGAATTTAGTCATAAAGCAGATTTTTAATATTTGTATTTTTTTAATTTTTAACTAAGCTATATCAATGTGGCCATGCCAATTATGTCACCAGAGTTACGTTATGAATGTGTTTATATTCTTCCTGAAGATAGATAAAATCTTGACCAGAAGAATTAATTTTAAATCTTTCTTATTTTTAAAACACAAATTTGATAATTCAAGTTAATTTTTGGGTGTAGATTTGTTACAAACCTGTGAGAAAAACATAGCCTATGTTTATGATAATACTTATGATATACTTTAATAGATAATCATTAGAATTGTTTTTTAATTATAGTATATAATTAGGATAGTTGAATTTTGTATACATAGGCACTAATTTTAAGTTATCTCATAAAAATATGGAAACTTTTTTTAGAGAATCTTAAGCTTACATTTAAGAAATGACATATTCAAACAATTTTAGGTTATTACTAAACTCAAAATTTTATCACCTTTGGAAATAATAATGTCAAATACTGCATGTGTTGTGGGAAATTCATCCAAGTTGTTTACAATGATCACAGAAAATTTCAAGGTAAGTATTTTTATTCTCAATAGTAATATTCAAATCTTTAAATAAAGACCCACTTTGTAACATTATTGTAAAGAATACTAGTTTGAGAACTTTATATTCAGCACCCTAAAATACTCACTAAATACAAGTCTTAGTCTACAGGACTACTAATGCATACCATAAAAATGACAGGGAATCTCACTTATTTAATTTGATGCCCTTGATCTATTTTAAAGAAAAGAAAAAATGTTTTGGGTAATGAGAAGACTTCTCAATAAACAATAGGCAGATACTTAGAGAAATTACAGATTTCCTTAGGTATAGTTCCCTGGAAACTAGCTGTGTTGTGTTGTAAATAGTTGCGATTGAAGTTCTTGTTCTTCTAGGGGGATAGAAACCTTCAGTTAAGTATTTTTTCTTTAAGAGTATCTGAACTTTATTACAGAATTCTTTCAGTTCTGTCATAGTTACCCAATTCAAAGTAGTAATAGTCTCTTTGAATTGGAATATGACAGATAAGTCCTTTGAAACCTAATCCAACCAATACTCTTCTCAGTAAGGACTTTTCTGCCATGTGGTTTAGCACTTTCCTCTAACAAATCTCCCTGATTTGTGAAGGATCATGATTCCAAACCAACTACACAGTAATGCTGTTGGATGAATACTCAAGCAGTGCAAATTATTTTTAGAATATACTATATTTTGTTATGTTTATAGACTTTCATACATTTGGAGCCAAACTGAGATTGAGAATCTGATGAGTTCCTTTTTTTTTTTAATATATTCATTTATATTCATAAAAGATTTGTTTGATGTTTTAAGAACTCCTTTGTAGCCCAATTGTCTGACTCACTGCCAGAAATTTTGCATTTTCTGTTAGATGTGTCTCTTAACCGTTATCTCTTTATCATCCCTATTTATGTATACCTATACAACTTTTATTATTTTGTTCTGATTAGAATTTTTTGGTTGCAAATAACGGAAATGAAACTAGCTTAAATAAAAAGGGAAATTCTGGAGGTTTTGCAACTGGAAAGTCAAATGGTTAGATAGATCCTATCCCTACCCACATTCCTATCACTTTTTTTTTTAATGCTATAAGTAAATTACCTCTATGAGCTTTAAAAGATGATTGCTGTTGGCTTTGGGCTGATGTCATCTCAGCGTAGTCAACTCAAAGAAAAAGTTTCCCTCCAGTATTCAAGTATGGATTTATGGGATGGATCCTAACTGTTCCTGCTTTGTTCATGTTCTCACATGTTGTACTAATCACTATTTTAAGGGTAGAGCAGCTATGGTTGATTAATGTCAGGTCATTTGCTGACATTGCTGTGTAACAGAGTACTGTTATTTTTTAAAAAAAATATTTATTTATTTATGCACACAAGAACTGGGCTACAGGCCAGAGGAGTTGGGGGTAAGAAGATTCACAGAGATGGAGAGTCGGGAGCAGAACAGGTAGATTGACTGAAATACACTGCTAAGGGAGCAGCAGGCAGAACAGGAGAGGTCCTCTGCACGATGTGGGTCACTTTCCTGGCCAGAATGAAACCACATTGGCTGCAGATAGCCTAGTAATGCTGGGTTTTAACCAGCTGTACCACAAGGGGGGATCAGCACAGTACTGTAATTGACATTCCTTACCAGGACCACATGCAATGTGGGATGGATGAGTCTAGCAAAAACCAAGCAACATGTATTTACTACAGTTGAGATTTAAGGCAGTTTTACAATAGTTTCAAATTCTGATTCTAAGTAACCTGTGCAAGTTAAGTTAATCTTTTTGAAGCTTCAGGGGTTTTTTTTGTTAGTAAAATAGGTATAATAATAGGTATAATTCTGAATGGATTGATATTTTACATAGGATAATGAGAATGTACTCATTGGTTAAGTTACATTAGGACAAAGTCTTAAAGGGATTGAGGAAGCAAGCCATGGGCATATTTGGGATAAAAGTATTAGGACCGGGAAAATCAACATTATCATTATTGCCACACTTAGCATAAAGAGAACTTAAATTAACAGCAATATGAACTGGCAGGATCATAAACTTTGTAATTAAAGAAATCTAAAATCAAATCTCAGCTGTGGCATATATTAACTTTTATGATAATCGAAAAGTCACTTCACTTCTCAGAATTTTATTTACAGGAAAATTAAAGTTAATAAACTTACTGTGTAACTCATGATTACATGAGATACTGTCAAGACAACCTTTGCTCATGAAAAATCCCTTCTGACTCATGAATTTTTTCAGTCTTAAAACTCTTTCACAATTCGTCATTACCCATCACCTTCCTTACCTTTATTTACCCTTTCAAAATAGGTAAATGTTTTACTCTGTAACTGCATGCTTTCCCCCCACCTCTTTTAATGTATGGATGGTTAAAGTATGTAAGGCAGAATATAAAACCTATGTGATGTTGTTACAATTGACTAAAATTACCAGAAGGCAGAGATTCTTGCATTTGTTGATTTCATGTATGGCTTGATTTAAACTATGGACTACTATCATCAATCTCATTTAGTAAATAACAAGAATATATCTTATTTAATTTTGGGAAACATTAAAACAAACTTTATGTAATACTTAAGCCACCTACCCCATTTAATAATGTATGTTTAAGAAAGAAATTTGTGTGATATACAAAATTTAAAATTTATTTTGAAATTAAAATTTCTTGCAGAATGTTAATTTCACTACTATCCAAAGGAAATACTTTAATGAAACGAAAGGATTAGAGTGTATTGAACAGTTATGCATAACAGAATTCAGCACTGTCCTAATGGAGGTTCAGTCCAAGTAAGTTATGATTTAAGGAAGTAATAAATCTCTTGTGTGATTCCACGAGGGCAAGATCTTTTGATTGTTTTATTTTCTATTGTATCTCTGCCTTTTGAAAAATACTTGGCTTATAATATACCTTTTTGTAATTATTGAAATAGTAAAATAGCTAGCTTATTTTTTCACAAGGCAAATCTTACTAATGCAATTTATGTAGGATTTCTCCTATTTAGTCATAATCTAGTGTCCTAATGGTTGCTTCTCACTTTACTTTGAAGTGAAAAGCTCAAATAGCCTCAGAAAACTAAAAAGTGAGGGCACAGGTGAAACACAGTTAAAGTTGCGTTACCATTACTTTATACCTTTACTTTTAAAGGATTCAGGTAAGACAGGAAATGGTATTTTTTTAAAGGATTTTTCATAGAACATACTAAGTAGATACTTTCTTTAAAAAACTTGGACCACTGGTTTACTTAGTTAATCATAATGTCTACCAAAGTCAAAACATACTTTCCTCTTAATCATGTTTAAAGCTTTCAGGCTCTGGGAGAAATAAAATATTATACAGAAAGGAACAATAATATAAGAAAATAAGAATAAAACTTTCAAACTCTCTTTTAATATTGAGTTCTTAGGTACATCAAAAATTGACACAAATTATCGTTGAATGTTGTCTCCTAACATGTGATTTAGTATTAGACTGCAGAAAGTTGACTATTTTTAGTCGGTTCTTATGACTTAAATGCTATATAGTTTTAAAAAATAAGGAATACTTTGTGAGCTTCTTTCTTTGAATTCAAGCACATGCTTATAAACTCATTATTAAGGTTAAATAGTTATTTCCTATTTAGCAATAGTTTTTTTTTTTATTCCAAAGATTTATAATAATACATCATTGTTCACCTTGCAGGTACTATTGCCTTGCAGCTGTTGCAGCTTTATTGAAGTATGTTGAATTTATTCAAAATTCAGTTTATGCACCAAAATCGTTGAAGGTCTGTTTCCAGGGTAGTGAGCAGACAGCCATGATAGATTCATCAACAGCCCAAAACCTTGAATTACTAATTAATAATCAAGATTTTAGGTAAAATCAACCAGTATTTTTCTTTCAAAATACATCAGTATATATGTATTTTTTTTGTGAATAATAACTTTACATTTCTTTAAATTACTTGATGAAGAAATATTGAGCAAATGTATTTTATGTGTTATTTCCACAACATGGCTATTATAAATAGTGCTGCAGTAAACATAGGTTTGAATGTATCTCTTTGAATTACTGTTTTTGTGTCCATTGGGTAATACTTAGGAGAAGAATTGCTAGATTACATGGCAGATCCATTTTTAATATTGAAAAATCTCCTTATTGTTTACCTTGGAGGGGGTGCTAATCTACATTCTTATCAACAGTGAGGATTCCTTTTTCTTCTCACTCTTGCCAGAACCTGTAATTTTGATGTTCTTGACATAGTGCTTCTTATAGATGTGAGGTGGGATTGTAGTTTTGATTTGCATTTCCCTGATGGTAAGTGATGATGAAGCATTTTTTCATGTGATTGTTGGCTCTTTATATGCCTTCTTTGGTGAAGCGTCTGCAATATTGTTAATAAAGTAACTAGTGGAAAACACTAAGGGTGGAGATTGGTTACCATGGAAGCAGTCATGTGATTAGAAGGTTGGAACTTTCTAGTATCACTACTCTTTGCCTCTCTAACTCCAGGAAGGGGAGAGCAGGTGGAGCTGTAGTTCATTCACAAATGAGCAGTGATTAATCAGTTGTGCCTATGTAATGAAATGTGCATAAAAATAAAAATTTCCATCAAAATGAAAAACAAGCTTCTGAGAGCTTCTGGGTTGGTGAACATGTGGGTATTTTAGGAGAGTGCCTTTGAGAAAGCATAGATGCTTTGCACCGTTTCCCCATACCATACCCTCTGTATCTCTTCCATCTCCCCAAGTTTAAGATTCACTACTCTAGATTACAGCTTAATTTAGAAAATTAGATTGTAATGTTCTTGGATTTTCCTTTTTATGCTTAATGAAAATTTGCTAATTTGTGTTTTCAAAGGAATAATCATACTCTCTTTGGTGTTCTAAATTATACTAAGACTCCTGGAGGTAGTAGAAGACTTCGCTCTAATATATTGGAACCTCTAATTGATGTTGAAACTATTCACATGAGATTAGATTGTGTCCAAGAAATACTTCAAGATGAGGAACTCTTTTTTGGACTTCAGTCAGGTAAATGAATATTGTCTCATTTTACAAATCCAAATAATTTAAAATACATTGCCTTACTAATGAAAACAGTAGTCATGGAAGGAAGATTAACCCTTATGACTTTAGCTTAACTTAATTACATCTGCAAAGATCCTGTTTCCAAACAGAATAATGTTCACAGTTTAAGTTTTCAAAGTATCTTTTGAGGGAATATAATTCCTCTTGGAACATGAGGTAAGATAATTTCCCTTAGTATTTGTTTATTCAGTGGTGTGTTGACAGGACAGTTTATATTTCCCACAACAATCCCAGCTTTCTAAGAACTTGACCTATCTTCCATACCTGCAGTCCCCAAACACCTCACCCTAAAGGGTGTTTTGGTAATCTGAATGTAAGTGGTACATGGAAATCTTGGCAGCATTTACAACCTGAGCAGGTTTTTCTTAGTCCAATTCCAGATACTTTTGCGTGTGTGTGGATAAGAACTAAGGTGTAGGCCAAAGTTGTGGTGGGGTGGGGGTGAGGTGAGAGGATTCACCAGAGACAAGATTGGGGAGCAGAACAGGCAGATTCACTGACATACTCTGCTAAGGGGAGCAGCTGTATCATATGTGGGTTAGCTCCCTTACTGGAGATGCAACTCAGCTGCATTGGTGATAGCACTGAGACTTAACCCTTTGGTCACTAGGGAGGCCTAATTCCAGATACTTTTTTATTAGTATAATTCCTTCAAAATATTGGAAATATATGAAATCACACATTTTTCATTTCCAACGTTGTTGTGTATAGTATATATTCATCTTTCCCTGCACAGTGTCAAATTTTGGATAAAGATGATGAATAATCAAAATTGACACCATTGGAACTTGTTAGTTTATTCCTAGTACCTGTAAGATAAACAAGGACAGTTAAAACAAGTAATATTTGCAGGTAGAACTATGCTTCCTTTTTTTGAAGATAATATTTGATGTAGCTCATATTTTAAACTTACACAAAATTAAAATACTCAAATTATTTTTTCAGTTATATCAAGATTTCTTGATACAGAGCAACTCCTTTCTGTTTTAGTCCAAATTCCAAAGCAAGACACGGTATGTTAATGTTACGCTTTATGTATTATATCATATTACATTGTGATTAAACTTTTATTACTCTTGTGTAACAATTAGAACATATTAAAAATGTTTTTGGAAAAGAATTTCCTTATTAAGATCTGGAATACATTTATTTTAAAAAATAAAAAAAAACCCTTTTTTAGATATGGTACATATACAGAATGAAAAATTACTCAGTGATCAAGAAAGATAAACACCTGCCTGTTGCAGCAACATGGATGAAGCTGGAAGGGATCATGCTTAGTGAAATAAGCCAGAAAGAAAAAGAATGGATGGTTTCACTCAGCAGGAGCATGAAGGACCAGGGGGAAAAAGATAATAATAATAATGAACAACTATATACCAGAGATATTGTATGGGGATGGAGTAGGGAATGGGATCAAAAATGGGGGAGGGAGGAAGTGCATGGGACTATGGTGATGGCACGCAGGTGAATTGGTTATGGGAAGTCCACAGGGATTATAACTGAGATGAAAAAATGCACAAAATGATGCAAATATAAACTGTTATAATAAAATTTAAAAAAAGCATTCAATGTAGCCTCCTCCTCAAAATTTTTATGTAACTAAATCTTTAAAAAACAACAAAAAAAGCCTTTTATTATTCCCTCAATGTATTATTCTATATACTATACTAAAATCAAAAGTTTTTTAGTTGAAGAATTGGCGTATTTTCATTAATTAGATATTTACCTAAAAAACCTTACATATAATTTAAAAAATTAGGCCATAATTAAATTTACTTAATAAATAACTGGATTAAGTTATGTTAGATCCAAATATTACAGGTGCTTTATATATACTTAACCTTTATGAATGAGCTGTCTTTGGATATTTTCAAAATTTACTTAGTGCTTGTAGGCACTGTAAGAAAGTATTAGATTTTTTATTTTTCTGCTTAGGGTAAATTGATGAATATTTAATGATATTTGTGCATGTAGTGCTCAATAATTCTGTGCTATAATTCGTTACTGTTTTTCCCATCTCACATTGGATTAGAAGTTCCTTCTAATTAGAGATTTATTCCTAGTTGTATTCCTAGCACTTGTCACAATGCTTGATAAAATAAATCACTTAGTAAATAAATGAGAGGAACAATGTACTGTAAATGTGTTTATGGCAGTCTGATAGCAACTGAAAAAAAGTCAGAACATTCTTAATGTAATATATTGAGTAGTAAGGTTATAATATTTAAAAAGACATTTTGGTTAATTAAAATATGAAATTTAAGCTTTACTCTCAGTGAACATTTATGATCAAGAAATAGGAATTTTCTAAAATCAGTATTCTTAAGGGGAAAATACAAGAACTCCTCTTAGGCAAACAATTCCATACTAGAGATTTTCAGGAAACATTTAGCTCATTCAGGAGTATAAGCTAATCATATCATTCAGCCAACAGAACATTTAGTGCATTCACAAGTTTTAGCAAATCATGCAGTTTAACTAGCACAAGTCTAAACTAATTTAGTAAATATTGTGTTTAATTAAGAGATATATGCTTATATTAAATGAAGAAAGTGTCTCATTTAAAGTATAGCTCCAGATGGTTAAGAAAACAGCAACTGAGAAACAGTATAAGGAACACTGGAATTCATGAATCATGTATGAAGTCAATATACTGCTTAAGTTCCTTAAAACAGTAAATTTTTTAAAATTAATTTATTTATTCGTACAGAACTGGCGTACAGGCCAGAGATGTGGAGGGTGAGAGGATTCACCAGAGATAGAGTGGGGAGCAGAACAGGCAGATCCACGAAGTACACTGCTGAGGGGAGCAGTGGGCGGGTCAGGAGAGGTCTGCCACGCCTTGTGGTCACCTCCAGAGCAGGCAGGGATCGAACGCATGCGAAAGTGGCTTAAGCTTCTTTATGCTGTGCTTTAACCCGCTACGCCACCAGGGAGCGCCCTAAAACAGTAAATTTCATCTGAAAAATATTTTTAAATATTTAAAAAAATACAAAAGACAGAGTGTGAGATAATTTGTTTTGGGGCTAACAACATTAATTTTTGTATCTCTTCTAAGTTGTCCCATATAATCACAGAGTAGGCCAGATATGGTGCTATGAGGATATAGGTCAGGAAGCTTCAAAAAGAAACAACTTCATGTCAAGTACTTTATAATTGTAATTTCTTAACTTTCTGTGTCTATTTTGGTCCATATACATGAACATATATTTATTTCCTTAAGGTTGGTACTAGTACTTTGCTTCAGAGGTGATACAACTGAATTGATAAAAATATATTTTATAAAATTATAATGTTTTTGTTTTATTTGGAAATACTATTGTTAATTTAAACCATTAAAATTATAAAAATTATTTCATTTGAACAAATAGCATCTGATAAAGGAAATTTGTGTTTTATAACTGGGAGGTTGTGATTCAGCTCTTTAAATACCTGTCTGCAGTTGCTTTTTATAATTAATCTTAGTCTCTTGTTGCTCAGGATTGAACTCTCTTATCACTAGTGTAGATTAATCTGGACTGAAGCACTGAAAAGGGAATAAGACTTTGTTACAGTGAAGTAAACTCTTCCTATTGTCAGACTTTGAACTAGTGCACTAAACTTATTATAATATTAGTAATTTCTAACTACTGTGTAGGCTGGCATCTTGACATCAAAATATGTGGAATATGGTAAGTTTAGGATGCTCGAGAGAGAGAAAAAAAATACTTAAAGTGTCCAAATTTGGATTTTTATCTTAATAGGTTAATGCAGCTGAATCAAAGATAACGAATTTAATATATCTAAAACATACCTTGGAACTTGTGGATCCTTTAAAGGTAATTTAATGTATGTATATTATGTAAAATATCATGGCTTTTAAAACTTTGTTTTGGAAAATTTCAAACATGAAAAAGTTGCAAGAGTAATGCATTGAGTTCCTTTATCCTCTCCCTTCACCACACAGCACACGCATATAGTATTATTCTTATTACTGATTTTGAGCCAGTTGAGAATAGTCATGCCTACTGCTAAAATACATAACTCCTAAAAATAAGGATATTTTCTTATATAGCTGCAATAATTATTCAATTTAAGATACCTAATACAATACTATTGTGTAATGTATATCCCATTATTCAATTGCCAATAATTTTCAATTTTCCTAATAATATTTTCTGTGGAACTTTTTTCTGGTACAGAACTTTGGATTATATATAATACATACAATCTAGGACCATGAATTGTGTGTAATATCACATTTCTCTATGCTTTTTTTTTTTTTTTTAAAGATTATTTATTCATACAGAACTGGGGTACAGGCCAGAGATGAGGAGGGTGAGAGGATTCACCAGAGACAGAGCGGGGAGCATAACAGGCAGATCAAGGAAGTACACTGCTGAGGGGAGCAGCCGGCGGGTCAGGAGAGGTCTGCCACGCCATGTGGTCACCTCTGGGGCAGGTGGGAATCAAACTCATGCTGAAGTGGCTTCAGCTTCTTAGTGTTGTGCTTTAACCCGCTGCACCACCAGGGAGGGCCTCTATGCTCTTTTAAACTGATATGTTTTTCAGTTTTTCTTTGACTTTCAAAATATCGAAATTTTGAAGCATAAGCATCAGTCATTTTATATTATATTTCTCAATTTGTGTGATTAAATATAATTTGTGCACATTTGATAGTAATCTTTTATTAGCAATGTCATATTTTTCTCACACCAACACATCAGGAGCCACATGATAGGATTTCCTCATTTTTGACAATAATAACTTTGATCAGTTTTTTCAAGGTAAGTTATAAGTAATATGTGAAGAGATACTTAGAGACCATGCAAATATCTTTTGGTTATCAAACTTTTATCCACTGATTTTAGTACTTGTTGATGATTGCTATCTGAAGTATTTGTTACTCTGATGGTTACAAAATTATTTTCTCATTAATATTTTAAAAACTGTCTGAAACAGTTTTTTTTTAATTAAAGTGACAGAACAGCTCTTTTAAAAGAAAAAATAATGAAAATGTGGATGAATTTTGTGATATAGTACATTCTAACATGTAATAAAAACAATTTGGTAAAAGATTTTAAAAGTGTCATCATCTTTCTTAGAATGAAGTATAAAAAGTCACCCCCCAAAACCATGGCGTTTTGTTCTGAAATATCAAAGGCAAACAGACAAAGGAAATTAGGAATAATTTATAATGAATGAAAACAAAATATTAATATCTGTCATGATAAAACTCATGTAACTTCATGAGAAAATTTACTAATGAAAAAAGGAAAATGAACAAAAAACTGAAATCACAGTAGTATATATATAATATCAAAAAGTCCAATCTGACGATTAGAGAAATGCAAATTAAAACCATGGTTCTTATCTATCAAAGAAGCAAAGCTGTTTTCCTAATAGATGCAACTTACTGCTAATGAGAGAAAAGTGAGGCAAGCAACTTCACAAGTAGCTGGTAGGATTACAAATGTAAACTGTTTGTTTCCCACAGGATAGACCATATGACTTACTAAAAGTTTTACTATGAAGCGTCTTAATACTTATGATGTAATATTAAGTGGAGGAGTAAGGAAACTTGCAATGATCGAAAACTTTTTGTTTGAGGAAGCAACCGGAAATAGACCATAATATTCAGAATATTTATCCTGAGAGGGTAATAAAGTTAGGAAAGATTTAAATGTCTTTCTCTATGCTTTTTAATTTTCCTTTTTAATCAGCATGTGAATATCATTTTTCAATTCATAATACAGAAATTGTTACTGTTAGTATTGCTGCTTAGCAAGCTAAAATAGGAAGTATAAGTCAGGTTAACTGTGTTTTCTGTTTATTTCAGTAGTGACCGCACATTTTCTGTTATGCAAGATAGAATCCCAAATTCTGACATATGAGGATGGAAAAATCACCCTATTTATAAATGTACAAAGCACTTTTAATATAGATTTATCACAGATTGGAAGCAAATATACCCTAACAGTACAATAGCTGCTCAAGTAGTAAATGTTAACAATTAGTTGGCAGTTAAGAAAGGTAAGTCTTAATGATATAGTAGATACTAGTTATTAGCTGTGAGCTCTATCTGGAAAAAGGAAAAGGAACTTCTGTCTTCACCTACATACCTAAAATATTTGCTATGAATATATAAATGAGAAGATAAATCAGTAAAGTACTTGGTGAACTGTAAAGTATTAAACAAATGTATAATGTTATGTTTTTAAATGTCATCAGTTAGTATCTTTAACTGTCTTTATTTTATTCTGTAATAGGTTGTGCTGAAGAACTGCAATACGCCTTTATTAAGAGCATACTATAGTTCCTTGGAAGACAAGAGGTGTTTGTTCTTTGTTAATAAAATATCAGATTATTTTCTTTGTTCCTGATCATAACTGATTTTGAAGTACTCTAATTGTATTCTGGAGAAGTACTTGAGCTTCAGTTAAGAGACCTTTTAAACATCTCAAGTTCAAATTATACTTCTCGTCTTATAATACCAATAAGTAGTATAACACACTGAGTATTTGTGTTAATGCACTATTAGAATAAATTTAAAAATTGAAATAATACATACTTTTAGTATTTATTTTTTAGCCATTCTCTGTGGAAAGACAAATGTCAAAACATACCCTTCTTTTTTGTTAGATCGCTAAGAGCCTAATGTAACAAAAAATAGTAGCTATGAATACTGAATAAGATCTAAAAGAACTTTAATTTTAATAACCATTTTTTGCAGTGGTGTCTTGGTTCTTGACCAGAAAGATATTTAAGATGTGTTACTTTATTGATTTAAGGTTCACACCTTATATGAGGTCACACATTGAGGTTAATAATAAAATCAAATTCATTAAAAATAAAGTATAGAACAGAATAAAACAAAAGTTAGGATAATTGGTGTTTCCAGAATTAAGGTTTGTATTTTCACTATAATTAGTTACTGATAATGGTGAGATTCTTGTTCTGTTGTCTCACAAATTACATTTAGTTTCCCTTGCCACAGCCAAGGGTTAGTACAGTTTGTGATACATGGTTTGAGTAAAAAGCCAGAGTTTTTGTATCATTTCTTCAAGGATGTATTTTATACTCCAGGAATATGTTCAATTTGAGAGATCTCTTTATTAGCAGATGTAAATTGGTTTTGGTGAGCTCTAGTTGTTTTCTGTTAGTCTTGACTAACAAAATAGTTTAAAATTGGCCTAGTCAGAGTTTTACCTTAATAAGTTAATTATGTATTTGAGCTGGGGTGCAAGCCAGAGGTGTGTGTGTATGGTGGTGGCGGTGAGAGGATTCACCAGAGACACAGTGGGGAGCAGAACAGGCAGATGTACTGAAATATACTGCTGAGGGGAGCAGTGGGTGGGTCAGGAGAGGTCTGCCACTCCATGTGGATCACCTTCCTGGCCGGGGATCGAACTCATGTTGCAGTGGCTGGTTGTAGCTTCTTAGTGCTGTCCTTTAACCCGTTGTGCCACCAGGAGGGCCCCACACAATAACTTAATAATAACAATAATTTCAAGAAGATGTTATTTGCTACCACTAAATATAGCACAGGTTACAAATGAAAATACTTGTTTGACTTACTGCCTATAATTTTCTTTTTAAGGTTTGGAACCATACTTGAAAAGATTAAAACAGTAGTTAATGATGATGCAAGGTACATGAAAGGATGCTTAAATATGAGGACTCAGAAGTGCTATGCAGTGAGGTCTAATATAAATGAATTTCTTGATATAGCTAGAAGAACATATACAGAGATTGTTGATGACATAGCAGGTAATGTAATTATTTGTAAATATTTTCTGGGTTTTTTTTTAGAAGTAAAACAAACATTGTAATGACATACTATGATTTTTTTGCTGATTCTAGCTAACATGCATATTAAAAATTTTATTGCCATAATAGGTTAATACATTATCATTTAAATAATCTCTTTTTAAATAAATATCTCAAAATGTTAATATCTAATTTTTCCTTGAAATTTAAGTGTAGAGTTGCCTTCATTACAACACTGGATAAAAATTAAATAAAAGACACAGGCTACCAATATTAAAAAATTTTACGAGATGGAGAGAATCATTTTTGTTAGGAGGAGGCATTTGAGTCAGTACAGTAATTCATTAACGAATATATATTGAGCTTGTACTAAATGTAGACAGTGTCTGGTTACTGGAAATATAGTGAACAAGGCAAAGTCCTTTTCTGTCCTCATGGAACTTACATTATAGTAGATAAGACAGGCCATAAAGAAACATATATGCACATATGTGTATGTGTATATATGCATGTCATTTTGACATATCAATCACATTTCATGTAATTTCACATGAATGTAAGATTTATGAAGAAAAGTACATCAGCTTAGAGGGGTCAGAGAATGACTTGGTGTGGAGGTATAGAAGATGGAAATAGTTTTTGTGTACAGAACAGCATTGCACATTGATAGTGGTCCATATAAATTGAAGCACAAAATGCAATGTAAAATAATGGTACTTGGTTAAAATGTATTTAAAAAAAAAAAGAACAGGAATGAAAAAAAATAGTTGTATCTGAGTTGTAGGAAAATTGCCATGTTTATTTTTTGTATCAGATAACATAAATCTATTGCTTCTGTGTGTCAGGCATTGTGTTAAGTGTGATTACTTCGGTAATCACATTACAACTCGTGTTTTTTGAACTTTTAAAAAATTCTGTAACAAATATATTTTATACAAAATAAAAGGGTAGTAGCACATTCCTATGGTGTATGCACACACACACAGAATAACAAGAAAAATCGTTCGAATTTTTTTAACAGATGAGTTATTTTTCTCATTGAAATGTCTTGCTTTTGTTTTTCTTGTTTCTGGTCACTAGGAATGATATCACAACTTGCAGAAAAATATAATCTCCCATTAAGGACAAGTTTTAGCTCTGCTCGAGGATTTTTCATCCAGATGCCTACAGATTGTACAGTCCTACCCAGTGATAAACTTCCTTCAGAGTTTATTAAGGTCTATTCTGGAATTTTGGTTAGAAAATTGCTTCTGATTTTACAGAGTTGTATTTACATATTGTTAGGAACTCCTGGAGTTTCATATTCCAAATTTCTGAATAGTTCTGTATGTTACTCCTCCTATCCTTGCTATCTAACAGTGAATTTAATTAATTAAAAGTGTTTTTAGAGGGCCCTCCCTGGTGGCGCAGCGGGTTAAAGTACAGCACTGAGAAGCTAAAGCCACTTCAACATGTGGATCACCCGCCCGGAGGTGATCCACATGGCGTGGGAGACCTCTCCTGACCCGCCCTCTGCTCCCCTCAGCAGTGTACTTTGTCAATCTGTTCTGCTTCCCACTCTGTCTCTGGTGAATCCTTTCACCGCCCCTGCACCTCTGGCCGGTACCCCAGCTCTGTATGGATAAATAAATAAATCTTTAAAAAAAAAAATACCAAGGACAGTGCTTTACACAATTCTGGGACCTTATTATAGGTATAAATGGTTAAGTGAAGAATGGTTTTGTTGATCAAAGAAATTTGGAAAGTACTGAACCACCTCCTATTTTAGAGAGTTATCAAGCACATCTGCCTATTAAAATGGAAAAGTCTTGAAAAAAATCTGCTTACCTTCTTAAAATCCAATATTGGCAAACCTTTGTACCATGGGAATATCTTTTTTCTTTGATAAATATTAACTCCCCACAATATCCCACATTGGATTAACTCTAACCTTTGCCATTTCAGCTCCCAGGGGATATTTTTTTTTTTTTTTTTTGGTCATCTGGTTTTCTTTCTTTTAATTTTTTAAAAAAATACAAGTTTATTTTTACATCATTTTGTACATTTTTTTCTCATTTCAGTTGTAATCCCCGTGGGTTTCCCATCACCGTAATCACCCATGTGCCATCACCATAGTCCTGTGCACTTCCCTCCCCACTACCCCCCATTTTTGATCCCATTCCAGGGGGTATTTTTTTTTTTTAAAGATTTATTTATTTATTCATATAGAACTGGGGTATAGGCCAGAGATGCGGAGGGTGAGAGGATTCACCAGAGACAGAGCGGGGAGCAGAACAGGCAGATCAACGAAGTACACTGCTGAGGGTAGCAGCGGGCGGGTCAGGAGAGGTCTGCCATGCCATGTGGTCACCTCCGGGGCAGGCGGGAATCGAACTCATACAGAAGTGGCTTCAACTTCTTAGTGCTGTGCTTTAACCGGCTGTGCCACCAGGGAGGGCCCTCCCGAGGGTATCTTTTGACAAATCATTTTACTTTTAAAATATATACTGCATTACTAGAAAGAGTGACCAATGAAATACAGAGTGGGTTGAGACTTAGTAGTAGAAATTGAGTGAGGTTCAGATAAGGGACAAGGGTGATAATAACAAGGTGAGATAAAGGTGATGGGTCAGAGAAAAGAGTGAGGCCTACTGATATCTACATATTACTTGGTAGTAAGTTGTAGTATTTTAACATCTTGACATGACCATTTTAAGTATTCATGGCTGATAGATGAGCTTGGAAAGTCCTGCTTTGTCTTTAGAAGTGTGATCTTTTCTCTCTTATTAGCATTACTTGGGATTTTATTTGTGATACTATATCTCAAATATTAAAGTGGTTAACTTGAATACCTGTATTTCTGTTGTTTAAAATCTTTGTTTTATTTCATTAGCATGTACACATACCTTGGCATTTATTTTTTTTTTAATTTCCTACCAGATTTCTAAACTGAAAAATTCGTACAGCTTCACATCAGCAGATTTAATTAAAATGAATGAAAGATGTCAAGAATCTCTGAGAGAAATATATCATATGACTTACATGTAAGAGCATTTGAAATTTTGAATATTGAATTAATTGTTTTAATTTGAGGTACTATGAAACATTTCGTAATTATTTTTTGTGTGATACAAAAATTATAAAATTATGAATGTTAGCAAAGAAAGAACATTTCCTGGAAAACAGTTAACTTTAAAAATCCTGTCTTTATGATTGGGATCACTAGGCTTCCCAGAAGATTGAGGGAAAATCTAATTGTTGAACTCATTGCAAATAATATTTCTGTAGTACATTCTCATGATACAGAACTTGGCACATCATGGGCTTATTTTGCATTTAATTCATTTATTCTCCTATAATGTAAACCTTCAGCCCTCATGCCTATATATTTCTATAGCAGTGTCACAGTAGTGCCAGTCTCTTGCTATTCATGAAATAGCAATACAACTAAAACTAAGAAATGAAACATTCTGAATTGGTGAGTTGAGGTGATGAAGAGAAAGGTTGGTTTTCAAAACAATTTCAAGTCATAGACCAGAGAGATTATAATCTATAGTGAATTTGGGCACATATTTTTCCTTGGGAGGGAAAAATACGTATCTTTCTTTGTAAGGGAACATTGGTAACAGCCACAGAGAGATAAGAAATTATGTCATTACTGTGAGAGAGAGGAGAGAGGCTTGTGTGTGTTTGGGGAGGGGAAATAGGGGTGGGAGGGGGTGAGGGGGAGGAGGCAGGTGTGGGAAGGAAAAAAGAAGTTGAGAGATTACCAATAGCTTTTGTGTTGAATTTAACATTTGCAAAACCACAAAGTTATTAACAAATGGTATTTGTTGAAATATAGTGAGGGCTTTAGATTATTTATATAAAATATTCTTATTAATAAAAATTCATGTTAATCATACTTAATAAAAGCAATAGTTTCCAAAAAAGTGGTGTTAGTACACTGGAAAATGGATTCTTTGCTACTAAGTAGCTGTGACCTTAAGTAAGAACTTCAATTTCTTCATCTCTAAATCGAAACAATTGAACAAAAAACCTTATCTATAGTGTACATCTCAACTTGAAGCTGTTTTACCTCAGGCAGTAAGTGTAAAATTGTTTTGCAATTACATTATATCTCCCTCTTTAAAAAACATCCCTTGTCTAAACAAACATGTGCTTACAGGATAGTGTGCAAACTGCTGAGTGAGATTTATGAACATATTCATTGTTTATACAAACTCTCTGACACTGTATCAATGCTGGATATGCTGCTGTCATTTGCTCATGCCTGCACTCTTTCTGACTATGGTGAGTTACTTTCTTTGGAATAAATATGTAGCATAATTCAATTTTTGTTCATTAAAGCAACTTTATACAACAGTCTTAAATAGTTTACATTTTTTTTTTTTTACCTGAAATACTGTCTCGTACCTATGGTTTCTATACTTAGACTCAAAATCAAGTTAGTGAAGTAAGCTTTAACATTTCTTTTAACAGTCAGAATTTTACATGAAAAGAAAGTGATAATTTAGAAAGAAAAATCTGCAAAAAACTTTAAAAGTTTCCCAAATAAGAAAGGCTTATTTTGGAGGTATACAGCAATACCTCCGTGGTGAAAATGATGATCCAAATTTATAAAGTTGAAATCTAAAAACTCATTGGAAGCTGTATGATGAATATTTAATAGAGAAATAAATTTCCAAAGTGAGCATTTGCTAAATTCTTTAGATGTGAGTATCACAAGTTCAGGAAACTCTTTTTGTTTCCCAAACCTATAGACAGACTTTGAATATAAATTGTAAATAGCTTTTTAATGCTGAATGAATACTTCAAGTTAATCCTTTGAAATTTTTTAGTACATCTATCAGTACTAAACATACTCCTGTTTACAAATTTAAGGAACTAATATCTGATACTAAGGTTGAATAACTGTAGACTTAATATTATGAGTAACATTGAAATTTCTGATTAAAATTATTAGTAACATTTCCAAGATTATGTTAGCTTATTTTTATAGTAGGGAATAAATATATAAAGTATTTTCATATTTTGTTTAAATATCTTTTTTTCTTCTAATCTCACTTTTCAAATAAATGTTTTCAGGTTTATTCATGTTTCACCTATTTTATTTTTATTATGTTTTAATTTATTTATGCATTAGAACTGGTGGTATAGGTCAGAGGTGGGGGGCGGGGGTGAGAGGATTCACCAGAGACAGAGTCAGAGCAGAGCAGGTGGATCTACTGAAATACATTGCTGAGGGGAACACTAGGTGAACGAGATAAGAAAAGTCTGCTGTGCCATGTTGGTCAGCTCCCTGGCAGGGGATCCAACTTGTGCTGCAGTGGCTAGCAATAGCTTGATAGTACTGAGTCTATAACCCCTTGTGCCACCAGGGAGACCCTCATGCATTTCATCTAGAGGCACGATCACTGCAGTTTTAATTTGTCCTCCACCTTCTTTTTCCACCCCTAAATGTATAGCCATAGAGACCTGATCATTATTCTATAAATTAACAACATTTTTTTGTGTTGTCTGCTCTTTTCTACCTTTTGAAATTTTTCTTTTAGATCAAACTTCTGTAAGGTTTTAGACAGTAAATTATTTTTATTTTATATTTGGTTTTATTTTATTCATACTTAGTTTGAAAATCTAAGTATGTCAAATTTGCAATAATGCTGAATGTAAGAATTAAGTCAAGATGTAATTCTAGGGTTTGGGCAATTAATAGTTGTTTTAAAAGTATTATCAAGGCCCTCCCTGGTGGCGCAGCGGGTTAAAGCACTGCACTGAGAATCTAAAGCTGCTTCCGCATGAGTTCAATCCCCACCTGCCCCGGAGGTGACCACATGGCGTGGCAGATCTCTCCTGACCCGCCCGCTGCTCCCCTCAGCAGTGTACTTTGTCGATCTGCCTGTTCTGCTCCCGCTCTGTCTCTGGTGAATCCTCTCGCCACCCCTGAGCCTCTGGCCTGTACCCCAGTTCTGTATGTACAAATAAAATAAATAAAAAAAAAGTATTATCAATTCCAGTTACTTGTTTTTAATCTACATAAATGCAAAAATGCTATAAACTGTTTTATAGTCCCTAACAATGAAAGGGAGTTAAATCTTAGAATTTCTTGAAAGTGAATAAAAGTTATGATGGTAGAGTACATCAGTTATAATTTGGAAGAATTAGGTAAGGATTTGGTATAAAACATATACATACCATAAAATCTTTAAATATATTAACCTTTCAAAAACCATTTTTTCCTAGTTCGGCCAGAGTTTACTGATACTTTAGCAATCAAGCAGGGATGGCACCCCATTCTTGAAAAAATATCTGTGGAAAAACCTGTGGCCAATAATACTTATATTACAGAAGGGAGTAACTTTTTGATCATAACTGGACCAAATATGAGTGGGAAATCCACGTATTTAAAACAAATTGCTCTTTGTCAGATAATGGCCCAGATTGGTAAGTCTGGCTTTACTTTGTAGTTACCAGTTCTGCTCCACATTCAAAATGTTTTGTGTTGATGTCTTTAGTTGCAGGTGTCTAACTCAAATGGAGTTTGAAGGAGATTTTCTTGTTAAATGTGTAATAGTGTCTGTTATATAGACAATGACTTTTAGTAATGGTATTTATTAAATGTCATTGCATTAAAAATTTGATAGGATGTGGCAGAAGTAGAAATTCCCTACTGTAACTATGAATGCAATATTAGCTACTACTAAATTGATAGTCATAATTATTAGGATTCAAAAACTGTGTTGTGAGAAAAAAATGAAGGCTACCTTTAATGATGCGAGTGAGAGTTTTTCCAAAATTGTAACCATGGGCAAAAAAACACTTCCCTTGCTTAATTTTAGAACTATCAGTAACTTGGCCACAAATATTGATATAATATGCATACATTTACATGCACAGACATGCGTGCATACATACATACATACACACACAGACACAATGGGCTATCACTGGCCTGACACTTGGATATCTCCTGTTGCGGAGGCACACTTTACCTCTTATCTCTGGAAAATGGGTTTCCTTGAAGACCATATGAACTACTTTAGATGATTGACCCTAATGTGGTTTTCAGCCAGGGATGATTTTGGGTGTCCTTGCCCAAAATCAAAAAGAATTTGGTGATGTGTTGTTTATCACCACTGAGGAAGAATATAGAATGTGTTTATGAATGCTGCTAAGCACCCTGTAATGTGTAAGATAGTGCCGCTTCTTTGCCCCTCTTACACCGTAAGATTTATCTGGAATCACCATCTTCCAGTAAGTGGCTGAAATGACCAACATAAAGGGAAAGAGAGGCACCCACTGTGAGTTCTCTAGGCCTTTTAGAAAACATGGAGCTGTTCCTTTGGCCACATACATGCAAATCTACAAGATAGGTGATATTGTGGTCCTAAAGGGAATGGTTCCAAAAATGTTAACCATGGAAAAACTGAAACAATCTGTAATGTTGCCCAGCATGCAGTTGACATTGTTGTATAAACAAACAAAGGGCAAGATTATTGCCAAGAGCATACCATATCAAGTACTTTAAGAGCCCAGGTGTGTAAAAAGAAAATGATCAGGAAAAAAGGGTGCCAAAGAGAAAGGTACTGAAACACAGGCCTGCTCCCCCAGAGCAGCACACTTTGTGAGAACCAATGGAAAGGAGTCTGAGCTTATGAACCCATTGCCTGTGAATTCAGGGCATGAGAGGTGTGAGAACAAAATAAAAGACCTCAAACTATTAAAAAAAAAATAGATGGGTTCAATCCAAGTAGTGAGTAATGCCATTTTTGAGAAGTCTTGGTCTAATGGGTTGTAAGGAAAATATAGTAGTAATATTTTGCTATACAGTACAAATTTACTAGTAGGAAGGAAAATCAGAGCTAAATAAAAGCATGACTAACTCTAATTGTTAGGCAATTCTTTATACCAAATTGAAATCTGGCATTCCAGAATAATCTATTCTCTCAAATATTTGAAGATAATATTCTACTTTCTTGTTTCTAACTTAAACCTCTGAATACCTACAAGTATTTATAATATGTCAGGATCAGATAATAATAGAAAGAATAGGAATTAAAAGTCTGCTTCTATGAATTGTAAATATTTAGTGAGATATTATGTAATTAATAATATGACTTTAAGAGACGTATGTGAGAGAGTGAGTGAGTTTCCAGGTAGACATAATAACATGTTCTAAAGCACAGAAACAAAAAGCAATATTATCTGCCCAGGAAACTAAGTAGTCCAGATGTTTTGTAGTTTCTTTGCTATGTAGAATAGAGTGGCTATGAGTGGCTGGAGAGATGGATGGGAGTAAGATTTTGAAGGACCTTAGTTACTTAACTGAAGAGATTGAACTTTATCAAGAAATCTATAGGGAACTATTGAAATTTAAGCAAGAAAAAGGCATGATTGGATTTGACTTTTAGATGGATCACTCTGGCTGATAAATTATTAGAGGAGAGCCAGACCAGAAGCAAAATATCAGCCAGGAGGCTTCTATAATAACATAGAGGAGAAATATTGGGAGTCATTTTTGTAGATAAGAAAAAAAAAAAAAGAAACATACGTCTTATATGCTAAATTCTCTATTTTACTTTCAAAGATTTTCCCATTAATTCCTTCTAGAAATCCTGTAAGAAAGTTGCGTCTAAAAGATTTGTTCTGCAGAAGATCATTGTAATTGCCACTGTTACCTTGCTTTTTATTTTTATTAGTATTAACCTGACTTTTGCTTTCTTTTTATGCTAGTCTGCATTCTTCAGAACAAATCCTTTTCTTGATGTTTGCCTCTTTTTTTATATTCTGGAATAATAAGACTTTGCTTCTTCACTCCCATAATATTGTCTATACATAGTTCTGTATACTTGATATTTTTCCAAATCAAGTATCTGTATACTTTATCTTCTTAAGATAATAGATTTTATATCCCAGTCCTAAGAGAGTTAGGGCCACTAACTCATCAATTTCTTTTCAAAAGATGAATATTTAGATTAGTTAACATGATAAATTATCAGGCTGAAAAAATCTAATGGATGAAAATTCACCTTTTAAAAATATTGTTTTGTGGCCCTCCCTGGTGGCGCAGCGGGTTAAAGCACTGCACTAAGAAACTAAAGCCACTTCTGCATGAGTTCGATCCCCGCCTGCCCCGGAGGCGACCACATGGCGAGGCAGACCTCTCCTGACCCGCCCCTTCTCCCCTCAGCAGTGTACTTCGTCGATCTGCCTGTTCTGCTCCCCACTCTGTCTCTGGTGAATCCTCTCACCCTCCGCATCTCTGGCCTGTACCCCAGTTCTGTACGAATAAATAAATAAATCTTTAAAAATAAAAAATAAATAAAAAAATATTGTTTTGTTTCCATTCTGATCCTGGGTATTATGAACATTTCTAACAGTTATTTTCTAGCACATACTAAATTTCTACAGTGATTTTATTAACTTGAGCTTCATAAGCATTTCCTTCAAGTTTCCATATTTTAAATATTCTTTATAATCTATTGAAAATTTTTTAAAAGGTTTATTTATTGGCCCTCCCTGGTGGCGCAGCGGATTAAAGCACAGCACTAAGAAGCTAAAGCCACTTCAGCATGTGTTCCAACCCCACCCAGGAGGTGATCCTATGGCAAGGCAGACTTCGGACCCACTCGCTGCTCCCCTCAGCTGTGTACTTCGTTGTCTGTCTTTTCTGCTCCCTGCTCTGTCTCTGGTGAATCCTCTCACCAACCCTGTACCTCTGTCCACTACCCCAGTTCTTTATGCCCTCCGGGATCGAACTCATGCTGAGGTGGCTTTAGCTTCTTAGTGCTGTGCTTTGTGCTTTAACCTGCTGCACCACCAAGGAGGGCCCTCTATTGAAATTTTTGTCGATTTTATAGTAAGTAATGTATTTGAATATATACTGTTTTATCTGAATTTACAAAACCTTTGCACAATAGGTAGGACAGATATTTCCCTATTATATATGAGAAAGATGAAACTGATAGAGCTTAGTTACTGCCCAAGGTTATAAAATAGGAAACAGAACTGGGATCATGTTTTCTAATTCCATATACAGTGCTTTTCCCACCTCATGATCCTAAAATAAGCTAGTCAGTAATCGGCGTTGTTGAAATTACAAAATATTAATACCTATATTTTATAAAAGCATATCAGTTTTCTTTGATTTTGTGTTCTACAGGATCATATGTTCCAGCAGAATATGCTTCCTTTAGAATTGCTGAACAAATTTTTACAAGAATTAGTACTGATGATGATATTGAAACAAATTCATCAACATTTATGAAGGAAATGAAAGAGGTATAAAACCTAAATTCTTTTTTAACATTAAAAGCATATTAATTTCTCCTATTAATGATCATTTGTTATCTAAGAGTGTATTTTTAACACTAAAGCCAGCAAATATGCTTATACTCCTCTACAAGAGCCAGAGGGCAGTCAAACACAGCTTCCTAATTTCTGTCTTACGTAGAAATGGAAGCAAATGTTTTACTGAAAAATACACTTTTAAAGAAAAAGCTAGTGTTATTAGATAATAAAAATGTACTTTCATGTTTTTATATGGAATATATAAAAGACTTTTTAGAAAATGATGACCTGCTCAGAACCATTTTTCATAGTATCTATTGTTCCTGTTACACTTGATATTAAAATAAGAAATCAGTGCGGAAGAAGACTTTTAAAAATCATTCCCCTTTCCCTTACAGAGTTTTTACTTCCTATAACAAGGTGTGTATTATTGCCTATTTCTGATCTGAGCAAAGTACAGTAAATTTGAAGGGCTAAAGGAGTTCAGTATAAAGCTGTATGTTTAGTAGGTAGGAATTACTAGATCACTGAACAGTTGGCTAACTTTCTGTAGACAAAGTTATCATTTGTCCCACAGTATATGACATTTGTATATTTAGTAGTATGTATTACATATTTTTGGAGGCATATACTAGATGAAGATATATTTTTAAATGGTGCTATGGAAAGATAAATTGACTGTGAAGGTCACTATTGATGTAAGTGAGGAAGTAATGCAAGTGATATAAGTGTGGAATTCTATCTTTTGAGGAAGAATCTTTTATTTAGTTTCTGTCTTTGTTGGGTATTGACTTAAATTGGTTTAAGTAGGAATCAGTGGACTGGAAAACTTTTTGTTTTATCCTTATTTCCATCTTTACTGGATATAGAGATATTAAAATACATTTGATAGTTTTGAGTATTTTATGACACTAATTGATTATTCATTTGTGGAAGAATAAATAACTGTATTATTTAAATATTTAATTCATTATTTTGTTTTATTTACTGTATCTAAAGTATCAATTTTTCAGATTATGATTATTTACTCTGACATTTCACACACATATGCATATACCTTATTTATAGACATCAACAATTCTATTAGGTATATATTTAGGAAGCAAAATAATGTGTTGCTTTCAGCTCAGCAGGATTTCTCTATAAAAATGTGTTTTAGATGAAGTAATAATTTAGATGAAGTAATAAAAATACCGGATTTTCCCTTATTTTTTGTATATGATAGTGATAGCTATTTGGTTATAATGAATGATACTAAAATTATGTTTTACAGATAGCATATATTCTACATAATGCTAATGACAGGTCACTGATACTAATTGATGAACTTGGCAGAGGTACTGATACAGAAGAAGGTATTGGCATTTGTTATGCTGTCTGTGAATATCTACTAAGTTTAAAGGTGAATATCTACTAAGTTTTAAGTTTTATTCTTTTTTATTTAAATGCCTGAATTTTGAATATTTAAAAAATATATTATTGATATGTTTATCATGATTGGATTTTATACATACCTACAAGTAGATCTAGAAACAATTTTAGGTAATGAAAACATGCCATACCATGTAGGTTTGTTACTTCATTTCTGATAGAAGCAGAAACTATTAATATGATAGCATGATGTAGAACAAGGAAGAAGGAAAGTTAGATATATAAATGTCATAACTAATTACTTGATTATAATTTAATTAAACTAAATAGAAAACATGAAAGCATTTCAATAATTGTCTCCATGTGTAATAACATTGGATGTGATATTATAATTTGAAGTAAAACACTAGACTTCTGAAGTAATTTTATGGAAGACTTATTTTATTTACACACATCATTCCTTTAAAGATAACAGTTTTTTCAAAAGTCCTAGAAAATTGAATCCATCAATATGTTAAGAGAGTCATTCATCACTATAACATAGATTTTATTATAGTGAAGCAAGGTTGGCGTATGCAAATCAGTCACCAAATCACAAACAGGAAGATTAAAATCACATGATCACTTTAATAGATGCCAAAATATATTTGACAAGATTCAACACCCATTTGTGATAAAACTGTCAATAAAAAGGAATAATGGAACTTTTTTTTTTTTAATTATTTATTCATACAGAACTGGGGTACAGGCCAGAGGCTCAGGGGCAGTGAGAGGCTTCACCAGAGACAGAGTGAGGAGCAGAACAGGCAGATCAACAAAGTACACTGCTGAGGGGAGCAGCGGGCGGGTCAGGAGAGGTCTGCCACGCCATGTGGTCACCTCCGGGTCAGGTGGAAATCGAACTCATGCCGAAGTGGCTTCAGCTTCTTAGTGCTGTGCTTTAACCTGCTGCGCCACCAGGGAGGGCCTAATGGAACTTATTTTAACATAACAAACACCATGTGTGATGATGCCATAGCCAACATATACTTTGTGGGAAAAAAAATTCTAAGGACTAAGACTAGAATGTCTACTTTTATTACTACTACTTCTAATTGTGTTGGAAATCCTAACCAGAGCAATTTGTTAAGAAATAAACATGAAAGAAATCCACATCAGAAAGAAGTAAAACTATCACTCTGCATATTAAATAATAATATACATAGAAGTACAAAAGATTTTTACCAGAAGTACTAGATATAATAAATGAATACAGTAATGTGGCAGGATATAAAATCAACACACAATCAGTTGTACTTCTATATAGTAACTATACATTTAAAGAAAGAGTAACTAAAAAAAGAACCCTTTATAGTCATACCAAAGAGGATGAAATGTCTGGGAATAAATAAAGGAGATTTAGAATCTGTACAGTGAAAATTAAAGACACTGTTAAAGTAAATAAAAGATACAAAGAAATGGAAAGTTATCCCATTCTCATGGAGTGGAAGAATAGACATTGTTCAAATGACCATATTACATAAAGCAATTTTCAGGTTAAGTTTACAGTATCAAAATCTCAATGATATTTTTCAGGGAAATAAAAAAAATAATAATATCTACATAGAACCACACACAGCAAAATAAGCCAAAGCAATCCTGAGAGAAAAGTTTCATGAAGGTGTCACATTTTCTGAGTTCAAACTATACTATATAGCATTGATAATTAAAATAGTATAGCATTAGACAGAAATAGAAACACAGATCACTTTAACAGGAATTCTAGTACTATACCTACATAAGTATAAACACTTAATTTTTGACAAAGAAACCATGACCATGCAATGGATAAAGGAAGCTTCTTCAAGAAATGGCTTTGGAAAACTTGGACACCTACATGCAAAGAAATGAAACTAGATGCGTACTTTAGATGCAAAAAGTAACTCAAAATGGATTTAATATTTGTATATAAGACCTGAAAGCATAAAATACTTAAAACATAAGTGATACACTACTGGATATTAACTACAGAGATGTATTTGGGACACAACTCCAACATAAGGAAACAAAAGTAAAAATATGTAAGTGGAACTATATCAGACTAAAAAGCTCTTTTACATGAGACCATCACTAAAACAAAAAGCTTCCTGTGAACTGAAAGAAGATGCTTGCACTCACACATCTGATAAGAAGTTAATTTACAAAATACAGAAAGAACTCATACAACTCAGCAACAACAAAAATAACCTGATAAAAAATGGATAAAATACCTACGTAGAAACTTCTCCAGGGATTACAATTGAGATGGATACAAAATGATGTAAAAATAAATTTTTATAAAATAAAAAAGAAGAAAAAAATGAGATGCAGGCAGCAATGCACAAAGTGTATAATTCACACCCCTCCCATGGAGCTGACTTCTGATGTTGTATGACAGGAGAGAATTCAAGGCAGTCACCTGGTTTATTCAGGTGCTTGTGGCCTATACATCCCCAAAGGAATCTTGGGACCTTGCAGCCTTCGGGTGGATATCAGTTGGACTGTTGGGGTGCCAAGTTTGGTTCCCTGAGATCTACTTTGACCTTTGGGGACATTTATACCATACTTCCTAAAACTGATGAGGACCTATTTTTAAAATTTCTTGTATTTCATCTGTTAGAGAAAACAGAAACCCAACAAGTTCCAAAGGGGAAAATGAGCACATTGTTGTAACCCATGTCTCAAGGCAATGTGAATACTTATCTGCTTAATATGTTTAATTGTCATAGACAAAAGAGGTGCCACTTAAATTATAATTTTGCATCTCTGGAATTTTTCATACTGAAACTCTGTAGCCATTAAATGCTAACTCCCTTTTCCTTCCTCTCCCAGGCCTGGGCAACCATCTTCTTTCTGTCAATACAACAACCTTAGCTATATCATGTTAGGTGAATCCTTGTGTGTCTGACTTATTTCACTTAGCATAATATCCTCCAGGTCCATCCACATCGTAGCAAGTATCAGAATTTCCTTCTTTTTGGAAACTGAATAATATTCTTGTGTTTGTATGTAAAAAAGAAAAGAAATATGATTTTGTAAAGTCTAAAAGGAAGTGGACATGATTTTGAGTGTCAGAAATCTGTTTCAGGAATTAAGAAAATACAACTGAGTTTGTTTTATAGAAAGAGAAGTTCAGATACAAGAATGGAAATATTAGACCCTCCCTGGTGGCACAGCGGGTTAAAGCACAGCATAAGGAAGCTTAAGCCACTTCCGCATGAGTTCAATTCCCGCCTGCCCCGGAGGTGACCCACATGGCGCGGCAGACCTCTCCTGACCTGCCCACTGCTCCCCTCAGCAGTGTACTTCGTCGATCTGCCTGTTCTGCTCCCCATTCTGTCCCTGGTGAATCCTCTCACCCTCCGCATCTCTGGCCTGTACCCCCTGTTCTGTACGAATAAATAAATCTTAAAAAAAGAATGGAAATATTATAATAAAATATTCTATAGTTTAAAAAAAGAAAAAGAAAAGAAACTTCTCCAAAGAAGACATTCAGATGGGGGGCCACCATTCTGGCCCCAGGGTTTAAATCTCAGCACTATGAAGCTCTTGTCAGCCACTCAAGCATGAGTTTAATTCCCAGCCAGGGAACTAACCGATATGGTTCAGCGAACCTCTCCTGTCTCAGTGTATTTCAGTAGATCAGCCTGTTCTGTTCCCTAGTGCTCTCTCTGGTGAATCCTAACACCTCTTCACCTCTGACCTACACCCCAGTTCTTCTACACATACATTCACACAACACACACACACATACATACATGCATGCATACGTAAGATAGATAGTCGATACATAGATAGATCTTCAAACAAATAAAAAGATAGCATAGTGCCTTTGGGATAAAAAAGGTTGATCTTCAAGTGATTATGCTAAATTAAATAAGAAAGTGAGGTAGGAAGGACAGTAATGAATGTATCACTTATAGAATGTAAAAAATAAAAAAATTGCCAAGTCACAGCAAAAACAGTTCTAGAGTTTGTGAAAAATATACTTATTGCTAGAGAGTATAAGGACTGAAGAAGAAAGGAAGAGAGGAGGAAAGGGGATAGGATCATTGTGACAGGTATTTTGGTGGCTGGTTAGAAATGTACACATTTGGAAGCATGAAAATATACTGCCAAAATTATGTAAATGACTGACAAATTAATAAATTTGAGGGGAAAATACAAGTTTTTCATTAAACAACTTTGTAAAATAACCTGATTTTCTCTACTAGAACTTATTTGTGAATGGTCTTCTTAGATTGTTCAAAATATATCAGAATACCTTAAAATAATCCTGATAATATTTGCCTTCTTAAATGTTAGTTCATAATACATATATAATGTCGGCTGAGAAAAATATTATTTTTACTTAAAGTATGTAACAAATCAAAAGTAATGTTAATAGATACCATTGCTTTTATAATTCTGAATTTGCCAATCAAGTTCTCTTATAAAGTAAGTTACATGTATAGCTTGTTAAACTAGTTAGCTAAATTAATTAAGCATCTTTAATGGTTAATTTTTTGTGTCAAGTTGACTGGATCATTGGTACCATATGTTCGGTCAAACATTGTTTTGGTGTTTTTTGGGGTTGTCTCTGAATGAGATTAGTATTTCAATTCATGGACTCAGTAAAGCAGATTGCCCTTTTTAATGTGATATGCTCCATTCAGTCAGTTAAAGTTCTGATCTTTCTGAAAATAAGATGAAACTCCTGCCTAACAGTGTTCAGTCTAGAACACTGCTTCTTGCTTTCTTACTTTAGCTGAAACATCAATTCTTCCTTGCTTTTTAGCCTGCCAACATTGGCTCTGCTAGGCCTCCTGCTTGCTTTAAATATTTAATCCATTTGGGGTGCACATTTGGGGACTTGTCAACCTCCAGTTCATGATAATAAGTCTTTCTGTCTTTTCAATTCTTTCTCTCCTCCTCTCACATACTATATACACATCTTATTAGTTCTGTTTCTCTGGAGAAACAGAGGCTTATTTTAGAGAAACCAAATTTTAATGAGTTTTTTGAATTGCTTCTGAGGTTTCTTGAATTGACTTTTTGCTATGACTAGATTTAAATATATTAATGACATAAGTACCAAGGTCTATAGTAATCTATAGTGTGACCTGTCAACAGAAAATAAGCAAAATATCAATATTGATTATTATTAACCACATATAAACAGGGAACTGGGTAACTGTTGTATATGATATTTTCAAGCTTTCTTGGCAAGCTAACAATATAATGAGGTTGTTCCTATTGGAACTGAACAGATTGGGGAAAGAAAAAGATGAGTTCTGGAATTCAAATTCCTGCATATATTCTGTCATAGAAGCTTTTCTGTTTGCCCTGAAGGAGGCCACTATCTTCTGTATACCTGAGAGTACTAAAAGTCAAAACCAGAATCTCATCCTGTGACTTTCTGAATTACTATGTAAGTGGAAAAGTCTTAACTACATAGTAAAAAAAGTAGTTTTAAAAGCAGGAATTAATTGGGAAAGAATGTGATCCTGAAAGTTGGACAGGGGACAACTTGAAACTGGAGACAGAGTTTCTAAATTCTGATGAAATTTTTTTTTGGTTTGTTTTTATTTTTTGCCAGTGAAACAGGCCTCTCACTCTCAGTGGCCTCTGTAGTCCAAGAGAATTAGCTTTGCAGTAAGTGAAAATACTCTAATGGTCTCATCTGAGACAATTTACATGTAAGACAATGCTGATTTTCTTTAGAACCCAACTGTACCACTACTCCTTACTTGTAGACCTATCATTAGATTCAGGTTCCATCAGGACCCTAAAGGTAAGGTACAAAATATGGCCATGAAATGATACACTATGTTTCTGAAGAACATAGTGTTGAGTGTTCTAATTTTAAAGATAGAAATCTGGGGGAAAGATATGATGCAAGATATAAATTATGGCAGAACATCAAGTTGGAGAAGGCTGAACCCCACTTCTGGATGCATAATTGGGAGAGATGTAGGTGGCAACTGGCAGAATAACCACATGAGTACCCTGACCCATGGAATAAGGTCTGTTATAGTAGGAACAACCAAATGGAAGTCCTAAGAAGACTAGTAAAATTGCTCTACTTAGGGAAATAATAAACCACAGTAGTACCACTTTCCTAGAGTGAGTGATTAGAGGCTCGTTAGACCATCAAGAACTTGAAGATGCAGGGGTATTGATCCTGCTATAGACATCCTCATTCAACTCACTATTTTACTAGGCAGAAGACAGATGGATCTTGGAGAATGATGGTGGATTATTGTAATATTAACCAGGTGGTGACTGTAGTTTGCAGCTGCTATGCCAGATGTGGTTTCATTGCTTGAACAAATTAATACATCCCCTGACACATGGTATACAGCTAATTGATCTAACGAATGTTTTTTTTTCTCCATACCTGTCAATAAAGACCATCATAAACACTTGTTTTCAGTTGGCAAGGTCAGCATTAAACCTTCTCCATCCAACTCCAACTGTTCAACTCTATGTCATTATTTAGTTTGCAAGAATCTTGATTACTTTTTCTCTTCCACATTACATTGGTGACATTATGATAATTGGACCCAGTGAGCATTAAATAGCAACTTCTTTAGATTTATTGGCAAGATATCTGTGTGTCAGAGGAGGGAAGTAAATCTAAAAGTAACTGGAGTTTTCTATCTCGGTGAAATTTCTGGGAGTGCAGTAGTGGGGAACATGGTAAGTTATTTTTCTAAGGAGAACTTGTTATATGCTTCCTATATTCTGGCCCCTCTTATAACCAAAAAGACCCACTGGGAGTCTAAACTTGTATTTTAGAGGCAACATATTCTTTTTTGTGCTATTTCAACCTTTTACCAAGTGACCTAAAAGCTGTTAATTTTGAGTGAGGTCCCAGTACAAAAGCAGGCTCTGTAACAGTTTCAGCCATGAAAACTGTTGTTTCACAAGGCCATATGTTTAAGGAGATTCAATAGTGTTTGAAAGTGAGTGTTAGCAGCAGATAGAGATGGGTTTGGAACATTTAGTAGGCCCCTATTGGTAAATTGCAGCACAGGCTATTGGGGTTTTAGAATATTCTTCCATTCTCTGTGGATAACTATTCCCCTTTTGAGAAATAGCTCTTGACTTGCTACTGTGCACAAGCAGAGACTCAAGGGCCACCAAGTTTACACGTAGCCTGAGTTGCCGCACATCATGAATGGTCTGATTGGATGGTCAGAGATTTGTAAAGAACATGAATGGAAAATTGATGACAAGGATATTTGAAAAAGAGATAATGTGAATAGATCTCTCTTAATGGGCAAAAGTGAAAATAATTGTGTCAGTGTGATTACTCACAAAAGAATGACCACAGCAGAGGAGGATTTTAATAACAGATAGGAAGGTCTGTTCTGGTGATATCTTAAAAAATTACCAGTTGTCCAAATTTCTGTCAGCTCTAGTAACTTTGGGCTAGCACTTATGTACTGGTCACTTGAACCATTTGCATAAAAATCACCTAAATACTTAACGAAAATGCAGTCTCTTTGGACCCCATATTACAACTATTGATCAAAAATTTGGTGGGGGAGATAAAATACCAAGAATTTACATCTTTGACAAACTTTCTGGGGCACAACTGACATGTGAGTATCATTGTCCTAAGTAGTCTTGACTCCCCCCCACCCCGTAAGTATCTAACCCAAACACAATGCAAGTATAAAAACTAAAACCTTTGCAGTTTCAGATATCTAATACAGTTCTTTTATTCCAAAAACTTATGTGGAAGGAAGGTACACTTAAAGTTTTCTTTGTTTTAAAGATTTATTTATTTTTGCATATGGAACTGGGGTACAGGCCAGAAGTGTAGAGGTGGTGAGAGGATTCAATAGAGACATAGTGGGGAGCAGAACAGGCTGACTAATGAAGTACACTGCTGAGGGAAACAGATGGCAGGTCAGGAGAGGTCTGCCGCGCCATGTGGGTCACCTCTGGAGTGGGAATTGAACTCATGCTGAAGTGGCTTAGCTTCTTAGTGCTGTTCAGTAACCTGCTGTGGAACCAGGGAGGGCCCTAAAGTTTTTTTTTAAGTTGAGGAGTGTTACAGTTTAATTTGTGGATGGATAACTTATCTAATAATTATTTCAAATGGTAGCCTGTAAATTTTATCTCTTTAGTTTCTTGAGATATTTTTTAAGAATGTTTTCTTTTCTGTAATGTAACAAAAATATTGATAAGTATGTGTACACATATCTAACATATTTCCTTCATTAAATGCAAATTTTCAAGATCTTTTAAATAAATTATGTTAATCTCAAAGTCATTGGCTTGATTTTTACATCTTTGCCAGACTACTTGAAAACTTAAACTAAAATTTTCTTTACAGACTTAAAATTGAAATTTCTAATTTACTTTAAAACTGCTGATATTTATTGTTATATATTCTAGGCATTTACACTCTTCACTACACATTTTCTGGAATTATGCCATATAGATGTCATGTATCTTAATGTAGAAAACATGCATTTTGAAGTTCAACATGTAAAGAACACCTCAAGAAATAAAGAAGCAATTTTGTATACCTACAAACTTTCTAAGGGACACACAGAAGAAAAAAATTATGGTATTACTTTAGAAGTTATATATATCTATAAGTTGAAACATTGCATATTGTGTTATGACAAACATTTTTCTCTTTACTTGGCTGTCAATTAAGCACTTACCCCTCTTTAGAATGTTTTTATGTTCTAAGGCTATATTTAATGTCACACTCATATTTT